ATATATGGTGGACAGATTTAGAAAATTAAAATACAGAATTCCCAGTTAAATTAGAATTTCAGATCAACCAAAAATGTTGTAAATATAATAAATAAAAACATGGCATGAGAAATACACTAAAAATAAACCACTTTTTATCTGAAATTTAACTTTTACTGGATATTTTTTATCTTACCTGACAGCTCAGCTTAGCTCACAAGAGTTTTTCTTATCTTTTAAGTTGTTAAGTGCTCCATGGCTTGGTGTGGGGTTTTTCTCAATTTCCTGCTTATACCTCTCTGTGAAGCCTTAGGCAGTGATACAGCACAGGAACTGGGGACAGGAAAGGATTATACAACAAAGAAAACAGATTGCTGCCTCTGCAAGGGTGGAAAGTACAGGCAGGAAGGGGAAATAGCAAAGGACCACATGAGACACTTGGATGCAGGACCAGAGGCATCCTGTAAAAGCAGTTTATTTGGAAGGTAAAAAAAACACACTCAAGGAATGAAAATGGAGTCAGGGTGCAATATCAAGCCACTGAGGGTAACTAGCACTGAATTTAGCAGAAGCTAGTACAAATATTATCATGGTGGTTTTCTGTCTTTCCCCCAGGAGTATAAAGTTTCTATTTCACTTCCAGCTGTGGCTCAGAGGAGAGTTTGCTGCTTTGCCCCCAGTGGCTTCAGGCTTTCTCTCCTTAGGGAAGAAATTTCCAGACCAGGCTTGTGTCTTTTGTACAATGGCTACTGTTCATCTCCCCCAGGCCTGAAACATAAGGGAAACTTTCTTGAGTCTCCTAACTTGCTCTCAAACTTTCACATCCCGTAAAGTCTGTCAAGTGCCTTCAAGCAGGTGTGATTTACTAAGTTCTATACTTTCATGTAAAACCACACTCTGCCTTCCGTAACTTCTTCAAAACCTAAGCTGAATTTTTATAACAGCTTCTATGATTTGTTATTTATAACCCCAGGTCAGCAAGTTTTCATGCCCTGTCTCTCCTTGAAGGTGCCTTTCCTTAGTTTTCAGTTTAGTTAACTGCCCTGTGACCTCAGATTTCTGATGAGTTTAAGAAAAGTTATTAGTTTGCAAGTTATCCAGCTTTACTTAGTTGTTGTGAGAGCAGGAATGGCATCCTTTCCAGTTTTCTACATGAACCCGAGTCTTCCCCTCCAGTGGCTGTGCGCTCCAGAGATCCAGCCATGCAGCCCTTGCCTGCTGAAATGTTGGCTCAGCCGGAGAGAGATAAATGTCAGCCACTCCTGACAGTCAAGACTAAAATGAGAAGGAAGAGCTAACTCACCCACCACCCATCTGCATCAGAGTTAGCTCCTGTAGGTTTCCAGAGTAACGGGATACCTTTGAGTGCTTACAACGGCCAGTGTGGAGTGTGTGCTTCAGGGAGGTCTCAGCTGACAGTTCTGACACATCCTACAGTTACAGACATAAGAAGTGGGGCTGGTGGTCTCTGTGGTGAAAATAGGAGGCAGCAGAATAGGGGAGATGCAAGATTTTCCCTGTGTTATAATGTCATCACCACAACACTTAGAATGCAGCCTTTAATCCTGCCTGCAGAAGCTGCTGGTCCCCCAGCCATGCATCTAAAACACCCACCGCAGCATCAGAATTCCTCCCTGGCGTCTGACATCCTGACCTGCCAGATTGCTGGGCATTGCCCCAGAGTGTGAAAAGTGAGAGGACAGCTAAGCAGCTACTATTACTTCTGCATCTGTGATATTTTCTCCTAGTAAATGCTGTCCCAGAAAAACTGATGTGAATGTATTGTTTGACCATTAGGTCTTATATATGCTCAGTAGGTTTTATACAATGAGCAGTAAAGAGATCTCCAGTTCTGGCCATTGATCTGTGGCTTATATTGCATGAAACTTCCTACAAAGAGATCATTATAAAAGTTGGAAAAAAATTCTAAAGTAACTATGAAGACAAAACCTGAGGCACTCCAATTGATCGTGACTTACTGTGTATATTTTACCTGCAAAAAAAAAAAAAAAAAAAAAAATCTCTCTATAGAAAGGTATCATTCATAATCTCCACTATTTTTATATACAATGCCTGGCATTTAATAAAAAATTATGAGGCAGCCTAAAAAAGAAAAAGAAAAAGAGTCCAGCCAGTGTGGCTCAGAGGTTGAACATTGACCTGTGAACCAGGAGGTCACAGTTGGATTCCTAGTCAGGGCACATGCCCGGGGTGCAGGCTCAATCCCCAGTCAGGGGCATGCAGGAGGCAGCCAACCGGATTCCCTTTCATCGTTGATGTTTCTATCTCTCTCCCTTCCTCTCTCTGAAATCAATTTTTTTAAAAAGAAAAGAAAAAGAAAAAGATTAAATGGCAAAGCACCAATTGACAAGCCAAATGTTTCAGACACTGATAATTTCAGACAGAAAATTTAAAATAAAAATGATTTTTGTGTTCAAATAAAGACAGAAAAGTATAAAGAATTTCAACAACATGGAAATAATTCAAGAGTCAAATAAGAGTTCTGAACTGAGATAAAAAATGAAATTAAAAATAATTTCATTAAGTGATGGCAAGATGGAATCCAAGAGGTAACACTGTTTAAGAAGGAAGGAGTAGCCACTGGCATCAAATACCTCTGAGCGAGAACAGCTAAGCAGATGCTATTGCTTCTGTATCTGTGTTGCTCTCCCCAACTAAATGTCCCAGAAAAGCTACTTACCTGTAAGTTTAGATAATATACAAGAAATATTCAAATGGATATAGTGAAAACATAGTCTTTCTTGGATTTGGTTAGGCTCATTTTGTTAAATTAGAGAGAAGAATTCCAATTGGACTGCAATGATGATGAGACTCTATCTAGCTAGGGAGACTGTGTGTGTGTGTGTGTGTGTGTGTGTGATATTTGCAAAACAGGAGAAAATGAAGCTTTAAACAATAATTGGGACACTGATCCAGACACGAATTTGTCTTCTTTACTTACAACGCATCTGACAGCACCCTTAGTCTTGGATTTACAGGGCCATTCATTCATCTCCATGGTATTCCTTACAGCATGCCTTCTGACAAAGAAATTCATTTCAAGGCAAAGGAAGTGGGGCAATGAATAATTCACTGGACATGCCCCACCACCATCTCTGCTTGGTAGAGCAGAGGAATCACTTGAATGTTTTTTAAGACTCAAATGTGGTATAATCTTGGAGACAGTACTGTAGAAATACATAACATATATAATTTTGTTCAATTTGCCATGGATATTTTTACTGTATTATAGCTTGTCATATAAACAAATTTAGCTTTTATATTGTCAATTGTGTCAGTCTTTTGAATGGCTCTTCTTGTCTTGTTTCTAAGGGTCCTTCCCACTCAAAGGTAATAATAAAAAAATCCACCAATGTGTATTTTCTTCTAAAATGCTAATGTTTTCATTCTTTATATACAAATATCTGATCCACCAAGGAGGATAGAAGGACTAGTCTATTCCCCCAATTAGAGCCTTTTTATTTATTTTTTTATGTGAGGCATCTTGCCAATGGGGGTATTGTGCTAGGCAGCCAGGACGGCTGGGTCAGGTCTCAACACTATCACTTTTCACCTGTGTGATGTTGGGTAAGGACATAACCTCTTGCTCAGTTCCCCATCCGTAAAATAAGGGTAATATTAATGGTAGTTGACAGAGCTGTAAAGATGAAACCAGCCTTAGCAAAGTGCTTAGGATGAGATAGATCACCATTATATATTTTGCATATTCTTTAAATGTGGCTGACAAGATGTTCACTGTTATATTTTTTAGATACATTTTGATAGCTTTTCTTCAAGTACCGGGACAGAGGGTGGGGTTTGGGAGGGGATCTATCAGTATTTTAATTACGTTGACACTGAATATTTAGATGCATTTAGGAGAAGTGACTTTTTTTCTTTCATATTGATACTTTTAACCCAAAAGCATGTTTCCCTATTTTTTATTTTTTGTTCAAGGGTTTTAAAGTTTTGTTCATTTTTGGTTGCACATATTTCTAATTATTTCGTATCTGTGATTTTTTTTTTAATTCTTTAATAGCTCTTGTGAAAGGGACCTAATATTTTATTTTATTTTTACTGTCTATTCCAACATATAATAAAGCAATTAATTTTTTTATTAAATACTTTAAAAAATCTTCCCATATTCTCTTTAGTAAACACACAAGCACAAACAAACAAAACGCCTATCCATTGTACGGTATGTATGTGTGGCAGGCAGTACCGATACACATTTTGAAGTAAGATTTACTAATGAAATTAGAAAGAACTTACTCAGAAACAATCATTCCACAATCCCCACCTTGCATGCCTGATCAAGAAATGAACGACCCTCTGCCTCTTGGGAATGCTGCATCTAACATCAGAATAACCCTGGTAACTCAGTTCCTTCCTCCTTTTGGTGGCTTAGCTGAGAGCTGGCTCAGGCTGACCGGGCCACTCTGCAGGGAGACAGCAAGGCTGATCTCCGCTTTCCTGGCCTGCAAAGTTGCTTCTAGGGCCTTTACTATACCAGCCTTGGCTATCAGTGTGCAGGCTCCCTAATGAGGTCCGCGGGCCCCAGATCCCTTAGCATATTTCTTGTTACCGGAGAAACTAGGTATTCTATCTCATCTTAGGTAACATGTAACGAGGTGGCCATGTAGAGCTCACACTGTCCCTTTCCCTGGGAGTGCCCTTTGTGCACGTGCAGTCTCCTGACTATGGCAACCCCCCTCCATCAGAACCTTTGCCGTGACATGTGCAGAACATCTTTGCCAGGCCATTTCTGTAGAGGAGCGAGTGTTGGAGAACTGTGTCTTTTTTTATCATTTCTCTGCTTGAAAGTTTGTCTCCAATAAATTCTTTTATATCTGCATCGTGTTGCACTGGTGATTCATACCCCCTTGCACAGCACTGATAATATCCAGGCACAATTTTACAAACTGCTCTGTAGTTGGTAGACATAGAGAAATGGAAAAAAAGGAAGAGAGAAGCGGAAGAAGGGTGTTAAGATATTTCCTCTCATACAAATTCTCTATTCTCGTTTCAGGCCACAGTAGGATTGCAGCTCATTTGTCAACTTGTGGGTGGTTGCCATAGTAGATTTAAAAATAAAAGCTTAACCTTTGGGTTACAAACAGAATTCAAAATCATAGCTTCTGCTTAATATTCAACGGTTAGCTTACCTTCATCTTTTTCTTTTCTTTTTTTAAGTTCGTCAAGCTTTCTTTTCAAAGCCATCAATGTCTGAAGAAGTTACTTATGCAGATCTAAAATTCCAGGACTCCACCAGGATAGAAAATATTCAGGAGTTTGACCAAGTTGGTGTAAAAGGTAAGATTCTAAGCTATGCATGTTTTGTAAGATGGTAGAAATATTGACGGTGATAGAAGTGTAAGTGTAGCAGCCCTGCGCCTTAGATAGTAGTGAACTGACAATGATTTTTCAAATAGAAATTTTAATTAAATCTCCCATTTTCAAAAAAGGTACCAAAAGTGTTCATATACAATTATTACAAAGGGTTTTTAAAGGCATTGATCAGTGTCTTGGATACTCAATCTTTTACAAATTTCCTATTTTTTAATATCACACTGAAGATAATTAAGATAAGATAGTATTTTCCTGTGGCTGGATTGTGAAATGTTTTTTCCCCATGAAAGGAAGCCACGGAACAAGGAACATATGTTGTCCAGAAAAGTCATATTTTTTATGTTCCTTTTTATGAGAAAATGCTTGTCTGTGTGTGTAAGAGAGAGACAGAAACAGACACACAGATAGAGATACCTTTAAAGGATTTAATNCTGTGTGTAAGAGAGACAGAAACAGACACACAGATAGAGATACCTTTAAAGGATTTAATTTGATTTTCTACCAAGTCAGGCATATGTTACCCTACTACTTTTCCAACTTCTCTTGAAGATCTTCTTCCAAGTTATGAAAACACAGAAGAGTTTCAGTTAAATAAAAGGATACGTCAAGGACTAAAGGAAGAAAAGAGACAAGGATATATTGGGGCATAAAACATTCAAAACCACACTTTACCTGGAAGCTTTGTGTTCTTCCAATCTAATTGAAATCGTAATAGAAACGGACTACCTGTGCGGACCTCCAGCTTATACTTCAGTAAAATATACTTTAATCTCCATCCTACTTATAATCCTATATTCCTCTTATTATATATAGCTCCTACCTCCTGGCTCCTGGCCTTCTGGGTGAAATCTGCCCAAGCGTACCCATGCTTGAACTCAATGTATTTGACTTAAAAACAGCATAAACAGTAGTTATGGAGAACTCAGGAAGTTTATAGAAACAGTGACATTATGAGCGGGGAGTGATAGAAGATTTCTCACGTATTAGTTTTAACTTCTCACTTTCCCCCCAAGTTGGCATGTTCTTTGAAATGCTAACTTTACCACAAATACAATTTTTTGTTAGATCTTGGATGTATTTATCATCATCATGGTGAATCTTGAGAAAGAAAACAGCTCAATTCTGTGAGATTTTCCTTTCATACAGACTTCTTTTAAAGAAGGAGCAACTAAGGGTTTTGCAGTATTTTCTGTCTTATTTCCGTGTGTTTCTCTTTCTTTGCAGTGCAACAGGATGAGAACATTCACTTAATATACCTACAATTGTCTTTTTTATGTCCTATCACATTCCAACTCCTCTCCTGTCCTACTAATTCATCTTATCCTAAATTTCAACTTCAGAAATTTTTTGACTCTCTAGAAATCTTGAAACCATGCTTTACTCATGTCTGAATTTTGTGTAATTTTTTTACTATCCAGCTTAAAGTCTGTATTATGTAATGTGAACATTATATTATGTAATATCTGCCCTCACTATCTTGTCTATATCCCTTTGATGCACTGTGTTTTTTCCTTGAAAAACTTCCATTGTGCTTTGAAACCAGACAGTGTGATGTCTCTAGCTTTGTTCTTCTTTCTTAAGATTGCTTTGGCTATTTGAGGTCTCCTATGGTTCTATCCAAATTTTAGCATTGTTTGTTCAACTTTTGTGAAAACTGTCATTAGCATTTTGATAAGGATTGCGCTGATTCTGCATCTTGCTTGAGTAGCCTGGACGTTTTGACAATATTCGTTATTTCAATCCATGAACGCAAAACATCTTTCCACTTATTTGTGTTCTCTTCGACTCTTTCTGTAATATCTTGTAGTCCTCAACACACAGGTTTTCACCTCCTTGGTTGAATTTGGTCCTAGGTACTTAGTTCTTTTTTTGCCGTTGTAAATGGGATTGTTATCTTAATATTTCTTCCTGATAGTTCATTATTAGTGTATAGAAATGCAACAGATTTTCGTGTATTGAATTTGTATCCTGGAGCTTTCCTGAATTTGTTTGTCAGTTCTAACAGCTTTTTTAATGGTGAAGGCTTTCTCTATATAATATCACATCTGCAGACAGTGACGGTTGTGCTTCTTCCTTTCCAATTTGGGCGGCTCAGGCTTCCAGTACTATGTCGAATAAGAGTGGCGAGAGTGCACAGCTTTGTCTTGTTCCTGATTTTAAAAGAAAAGTCTTTAGCTTTTCACCATTAAGTGTGATGTTCGCTATGGGCTTATCATATATATATATATATGGTCTTTATTATGTAGGTACATTCCCTCCATACCCACTATGTTGAGTTTTTATCAAAAATCAATGTTGAATTTTGTACTACGCTTGTTCTGCATCTATTGAGATGATCATGTGATTTTCACCCTTTTTTGGTTAATGTGCCTTATCACATTGTCTGATGTGTAGAAGTTGAACGAACCATCTTTGCCTCCTTGGAATAAATCTCACTTGATTGTGGTGTATGTTTTTTTAAATTATTGTTGAATTCAGTTTGCTAATATTTTGTTCAGGATTTTTTGCATCTATGGTCATCAGGAGTATTGGCTTGTAATTTTCTTTTCTTGTAGTATCTTTGTCTGCTTTTGGTATCAGCAGACAAAGTGAGTTTGGAATTGTTCCTCTTGTCTGATTTTTTTTGGAAGAGTCTGAGAAGGATTGGTGTTGACTTTTCATTTTATATTTGGTAAAATTCTCCAGGAAATTTGTCTGGTCCTGGACTTTTGTTTGTTGGGAGATTTTTTTTTTTATTACTAACTCAATCTCCTTACTAGTAATAAATCTGTTCAAATTTTCTGTTTTGTTATGATTAAGTCTTGGTTGGTTGTATGTTTCTAGGAATTTATCCATTTTTCTAGTTTGTCCAACTTGTTTACATGTAATTGTTCGCAGTCGTCACTTACGACTCTTTGTATTTCTGTGGTATTAGTTCTAACATCTCTTTCCTTTCTGATTTTATTGATGTACAATAATTAATTTATAATGTAAAATTCATAAATCATGTTTTCTTAAATGGGGAAATTGTCTGCGTTGGACTTTACTCTTCAGTAAAAAGAAAGCATTCAAGGAAAGTCTGTTGCTTTATAAAACATTAAAACACTTTAAGGATGAAATGATGTAGATTTGGCCTAAGATCTGGCTGATGTGAGGACACCCAGAGACATTACAAAGAGACAACCTCTCATTTACATTCCACAGCCATGATTTTCTGGGGAGAGCATGGATACCTGAAATTTTCTTTGATATCCCACAATTGTCCACTCAAGGAAGGAATACCCAGATAGACCTCTCCGTTAACTGCCAGCTTCTCCAATTTTTACAGAAAAAAATATATTGTATCCAGATTAATTGGTTTACTCCCTTCTCTCTTTCAAATTCCATTTTGCCTCTGTCTCTTGAATCAGCCTACCAATTAACAACCTCTCCTCGAAAACTGGTTTGCATGCAAAACAGCTAACAAAATGTTTTTTACTGTTTCTTGACATGTTCTCGTTTTTGTTTTTTGGTTTTCTTTAATCCTCACCGGAGGATATTTTTTCCAGTGCTTTTCAGAGAGAGTGGAAAGGAGAGAGAGAAACATCGATGTGAGAGAGACACATCAATTGGTTGCCTCCTGCACCCACCCCAACCAGGGCTGGGGACCGAGCCTGCAACCGAGGTACATGCTCTTGGTGGAAATTGAACCCAGGATCCTTCGGCGGGCCGACACTCCAACCACTGAGCCAAACCGGCTAGGGCCTGACATATTCTTTTAAAAAGGTATATAAAAATGTCCTTGAGTTTCATTCCTTTACCAGAGACATGTTAGGAAAAAAAAAAAAGCAAAATGAATGAATGAATGAATGAATGAATGAATGAATGAATGAATGAATGAATGAATGAATCGATCGATCAAATTAAGATATATACCATTTCCAAGCCTCTTTGCTAATTTTGCTTTCCACAGCACCTCCTAGTCCCTCCAATGTATGGCATCCAAGAACCTTGGCTGTGACTCTTCTGTGTCTTCTGCTGCTGATTGGAATGGGAGTCTTAGGAACAATATGTATGTATTACCCATGGTTTTCTGTTTGTTGGTTTTTTAGTCCTCACCTGAGGGTATGTTTATTGATTTTAGAGAGAGAGGAAGTGAGAGAGATAGAGAAACAGAGGGAGAGACAGAGAAACGTTGATGTGAAAGAGAAACATCGATCGGTCGCCTCCAGCACTCACCCTGACCAGGGATTGAACCCACAAATTAGGTATGTGCCCTGAGTGGGAATTGAACCCGAAACCTTTGGTGTGTAGGACGATGCTCCAGCCGACCCACCCATGTTTTGATTGAATGGAAAGACATCTAGAATTGCATGAGTTTCACAAGGAAATTTACTGTTTGAATTGAGGCTTTGGAATGATTATAAGTGAGATATAAACAAAAAGGGGACTTATAACTAAGTCATTACAGGAAGAAACTTACTCTCCCTCACTCTTGTGAAATGAATGCTTCCCTAGAACTTTAATATTCTTAATACTATTTCAGCAAAAAGGAAGTGATGGATATATCTTGAGATTAAATTTTTTAATCTTTTTTTTTTAATCTGGAGATTACCTAACTTCAAAAATACAAATGGAAAAATTGAAAGAGCTACAAAATTTCAATGATGAACTTCAGAGGAACGTTTCTCTACAACTAACAAATAATGCGGATAGTTTCAAGAAGATCGGGAACCTCTCTGTCACACTGAAAGAAATGGCCACCAAATTATGTTTTGAACTATATAGGAAAAAACCAGGTAATCTTAGATTCCTGTCCGAGTTATTTATTAGATAAACATAGGAATCACTTGAGAATCAGTCTTTCCTTAGGAAGACATTACTTGGAGGAAGGAATTAAATGTGATTGACAGAGTACTTGATATTTCTTGCAGTTAAAAGAAAAACAGAAAAAGTAGTAATAATATAGGCCCCAAAATTACAGAGGATGATAGTAACTTAATGAATATTAAACAATATACAGTTTCTCTAATCTGACATATAGTAGGTTTTTCTGGGTACCAAGTCAATACAAGCTAGGAAGAAAGGATATCTTTTTATAGGTGACCTCATTCCTAAATTTTAGTGAATTTTTAGTGAGTCAAGAGAAAATAAAGTTAGGCCTTACCCTTGGAATTTGGAGGAATTGGCCTTTTAATATCTCTAACATTTTCTATAGCTATTATAACAAAATTATGTTATTTGTGCCCTTGCAAAGTCTCCCAAATATTTAACAAGTCAGAGCTAGAAATAGTGTAGTTGAAAGCAGGATTGATATAGGTTTGTGGGGTTGATTCTTACCACCCAATGCTTCTTGTGATTAGCCTTTATTACCATGTAGTAATACAAAAAATGACAAAGAGAGAAGGAAATAATCAGTCATTATTTAGGGCCCCCGTGGTAGAAAAATATACTGGAATATACACGTTTGATTTGAAATGTGCTGTTCAATGTGATTTGAAATGAAATGTGTGTTTTAGACACATTGTAGTGGTATATGGGGCCCTGGAACACAAGATTCATTTTCTTCACCCTTGATGTACAAAGAAACAGGACAAGTAAATTTGGGTAATTTAACATAGAGGACAATGGGAATGATGAAGATTATCAAACACACCAAATGAAATGACCTCCCTCTTCCAGAACACAAATGTAAACCTTGTCCAAAGGAATGGATGTGGCATGAGAACAGCTGTTATGTGGTACTTCGGAAGTATGAGAATTGGCAAGAGAGTGTCACGACATGTTCTACTTACAATGCCAGCCTGGTGAAAATTAAGAACAAAAGCATATTGGTAAGGTCTTATGGATCTCTGCTTGTGGGGAGGGAAGTCACTTTCTCCAAGATCCAAGATAGAAGTAGGAGTGAGACATGTTAGGGAAGATCTGTGTTCATCCAGATCTGTGTTCATCCATTCTGGAGTATGAGGTGACTGAGACTTGGCGCATTTATCTCAGATAGCCAAGGTAAAGCACATAAAACTTTAGCTTAGGACCTTAGCATCAATAGAATCTGAGAGTCTGGGCAGATGCCGTAGATATGGGGCACTCAGATTTGGGTCCATAAGCTTTTCCAAACTAGGATCAACTTTCAGGACACAATTTATGAACATTTATCTAAAAACAGAAGATCTGGAAATTATTCCTGAGGTTTACCAATTCCAGAAAGTGTACAAAGGAAGAGATTCTTCATTTGCAATATTTTGTATTTTTTTTTTTTAACTAAGAGAAAAAGCCAGCATACACTAGTATAAGAAGATAGTTTGGACAAAATGTATATAAGAAAGCAGAATTAAGATGGGGTGGCAAAGGCAAGTGCCAAGCAGATGTATTACACAGAGTTCCTGGGTCCAAGAAAAAGTGAGTTTTCCAGATTTGTTTATATATTTATTTTTTCTTAATATCTAAATAGTATCTCCATATTTAATTTATTACTCAACATTTCTGGCCTCTCAAATGGTAATCACATATTTATTTTTGAAGCCAAAAATTCATTTTCCCAAGAGTCTCAGCTTCCCTAGTCAAACACCTTTCTCCTCCATAAAACAGGGGGAAGTCAATCCATAACTCTTCCTCATGTGATCTTCCTCAAACAATCCATTCATGGTTATTTATTCAAAAAATGTCTGGAAAAAAATGCTACGCTGGCTACAAAACTCTGGACTGGTTTTAAGTTCTATCCTATAATCACTCTCATCTGACTTTGCTACATTTTTCTCTTTGCTACATTTTACTTTTTCTGTTTCTATTAACATATGTTTATAGTGATTAGCCACCTCTTTGCCCCTAGGCTGAATATTTACTGCTCAGTACTTGAATCCTGAAGTTTGTGAACTTCATTGACCCGAAATTAAGGTTATGAATGGATTGGCAGATCCTTCTTCATGTGAGACAGTAACTCATGTATAAATGCTGGAAGAAACCTTATCATGGAAAATACTGCCTCAATTTTCTTTAATGACATTGAAAACTAGTAGTATAATGTTAAAAGTGTTACTTTAAGGCAGTTATTTATAAGAAATTATGTTGTGCGGTAATATTCGGAAATAGGAGACCGTTATTTTAACAAACCATCTCTATTTCCTGTAGAAATTTATAAGGTCCCAGGAGTTATATGACTGTTGGCTAGGATTATCTCCCGGAAAAGATGACATGTATTATAAGAAGTTGGATGAAACAATTTTCTCCTCTGACTGGTAAGTCTTTAGGCTTATTGAATGTTTCTAGATGATTTGATTAAGGAGTTTTCCTCAGGAGCATTGTAGGTTACAATTAAAACTGGCTTCAATTGAAATTGCATCCATAAAGCATTCTTTTCCATAAGTCTTCTTTAATGTATCTAATAATGCAAGAAGTGTCACAAATGTCTTCCATTATCTTGACAAGTCACTAACAAACTTATAGTAGCCAAATAAGGGAGAATTTCTATGAATAGTGCTTTTATCTAAGAGATTCTAGAAGCCAACAAAATTCAGTGGGCTCTAACATGTACTTAAAATGATGCTAAATGCTGGGATTCATAAATGAATGAACGATTGATTCTGTCCGTAGTTACTTAACCATTAATGGTATGATTAGACTAACTTTTAAAATCTACAGATAAAAAGAATAGGACATGAAAATGCTTCAGTCAGGATAACAGAATATAAATTTTAGCTTTGAAATTTGTGTTATAACTGACATTTGAAATGGCCATTTTTGAATGGAAATTCTAGAGACAGACTAGAAGAGCATTTCTAGTAAAGAGAATAAAATGAACTTGGGCTTGGTATATTGCATACATGCTATATATAAAATATTTTGTTGTGTAATGTATTAAAAATGTGATTATAAATGGATCCATATGTTGTATTTGTTGTGCTTGTAATGGGGGGAAAAACTTACATGAAAGTAATGTCAAAATTTTACTTGTAGTTTATAAACCCTTCCATCTGGGAAGCAGACAAGATTAGACTAAAGAAAGAAACCAGAGTCTTAACCTGTTAGCTACTGTTGCAAGCCCAGGAATTTATACACGTATGTTTGTTGAGGACACATCAAGCCGGAGTGAACTCAGGGTGACTGTGCTGGGGTGTTGCTGCTCTGAATCTAAACTGAGATTCCTGCACACTCACTACCTTGTGCCAGACAGCAAATAGAAGTTTTGATTGCTTTTTGTTTTGTTTTGTTTTGGTGGTTTTTTTCCTTCAGGTAGAAATAGTAGGTGTAGGAATGTGGCCCAAAAGGAAAAGGCAGCTCTATCTTTGGTAGTTTGCAGCCATGGGACAGAACAGGGGAGAAGGTAAGTACCAACAGAGGAGGAAAGGGTATGTAGTCCAAATATCCCACTTGGAGTGAAGGACTAGGGGTAAAGGTAGGGTGTGTATCGGGAGAGGATAGATGGGACCTTGTTTTGAAAAAGTAGAATGTCCATGTGTTTATTGGCAATTTTTGCTGATGGGAAGGTAATCTATAATGGGCTGGAAACATAATATATATTTCTAACTATAAAGAAATAATACTGAATTAAAAATTATATAATAACATGTATATATAATGCATTACATTTGTATATAATAGATAATTACATAGGTATGTATATATGATTCCCTTTTGTTTTTTACTCTCATTGTTATTTTTGAGCTTGTTTCTGGAAAGGGGTGTGGTCAATGACATCTGTATTATGTCACCTCAAATAGGAATTTTTACTTTTGAAAATTTAATTGATGAACTTATTTATTGATTAATGATTATTATTTATCAGCTCAATTATTAATACTACATTTTTTCCAAAGGATAATATTTTCAATTTACAAGTTTATCTTAATGCATAATCCCTGACCAGTAATCTTATATTAGGGGCTGGTAATAAATCAGAACTTCAGAGTAAATATCTCTGAAAAGCTGCTAGAGGGATATGTTACTTGGAGATGATGTCAAGTTTAAGGCATCATACATTACGCTAATTCTTGGTTTTGGTGATTATGAAAAACATTTGAGGAGGATAGTGCCAAAGATTTACTACTTGAGCCAATTAGACTAGAGAATCTAATGGAATTGCATTATTCTAAGTCATATTAGGTATTAGGGAAGGGAGGTGCTATGTCTGAAAGAGCAGCAAATATTCCAGATGTGAGAAAGAAAATGAGGCCATGTTTGACATTATATATATGTCAATAAAAATGAGTAATCTGGATACTCTCAATATTCTGAATAATAATTAAAATTTATTTTAGACAATGCAGAACCTAGGAGCAATGACATACTGAAAAGTAATTTTTGTGTGTGTGAATATGTTTCAACTGTTTGACTAACCTAGTGTAAATCTTTGTTGTCTCTTTCAGGTTTACAAAAAACACAAGTGCCTTAAGTGGTGGAATGTATTGTGGATATATAAGATATACAGATCTTTACTTTTCACTCTGCACTCAGAAAAAATATACTATGTGTGAGAAGTTAGCTGATCCAGTGAAGATTGAGAGCTCACTAATGAATGAAGAACCAGATGGATGAATGCAGTTACTGTAATTATTTTGCCTTAGCAACTCTAGGGAACATACATATTTTGGATCACACAAATGGAATAAAGCTTCTGTGAAACTAAATTTCTGCCTCTCTCCTAACAATTCACATTTTCAAATTTCCTCTTTCTCCTCATTTTCTAAGTAAAAGAAACCTAAAGTCATACCTAAAGCCAAACCATATCATTTAGATACAGGCCAGATAATACTAAGCATCGATACAGTGTTCTGGGTGAAAATTGTGAAAATGAAAGTAACCTTTTCTTGTTTTTCCAGACATAAACAAGGTAAATATCAACCTTATGGAAAATCAGAGAAAATCAAATCTAGGACTATATAGAGAGTAATAAATCATGACCAATTGGGGCTTATTCTGGTAACACAGATTGATTTCCATTTTGGTAAAAAGAGGGAGAGAAAGAGAGGGAGAGAGAAGGAATTGCTTGTCCTGTCTACAGGGTGTCAGCCAGGACTAATATCCATGAATTTAGAGAATATTTGACCAACTAGAATGAAACCCTACAAAACCTCATGTTTGACCAGGGACACACATTCTAACGTAGAGGTAGAGAAAGTGGGCAATTGACTGTGAAATGCACTTGTCATATCACAGACTAAAGCAACATAAAGCTGGAGGTAGATTGAGCAATGAAAGGGACTGAGGGCTGTTTGAAAGCACAGATGGAGAGCCAGCTCAAAGTTAATACTTATGACAACATTTTGCCATCTTCCAAGATACAGCATATGCTTTAAATACAGCATATGCTTTAAATAACCTTTATATGGTGCTGTGTCCTTGGTAGGTAGAGTACATGGATTTGGAAACATAGGGCAGAAGCAGGAGTGACCCTGCTTACCATCATTTCCAAAGACTAGTTTGGGAAATGAGTGCCTTCTGTCAGGCTAACCCTGAGTTCTATGGGTTTAGAGAAACTAGTCCCTAAGAAACTAGTCCTTTCACCCAAGGGCACATATCTTGGGATGAATGACTTTTGGGATGAGCAAATGACTGATCAAAAGGAGAAAGCAGGGCTGCTGTTACACAATAGGAACTGGAACAAATATGTTTGACACAGTTTTCCCATTTGAGTATATATTTTTTATTTTTGTCACTTTTTTTTTAATTACAGTTGACATACAATATTATATTAGTTACAGATGTGCACCCCAATGATTAGACATTATATAACTTGCTAAATGATCAGCCTGATATATCCTGTACCCATCTGACACAGAATTATTAGAATATTGACTATATTCTCTATGCTGTGCTTTACATCCCCATGAATATTCTGTGACAACTAATTTGTACTTCTTGACCCCTTCACCTTTTTCATTCATCCCTCAAACCCCTCCCTCTGGCAACTGTCAAAATATTCTTTGTATCTATGAGTCTGTTTCTGTTCTGTTTGTTCATTTATTTTGATTTTTAGATTCAATTGTTGATAGATATTTTTTTTTCCATTTTATTGTTCATGTTTTTTATCTTCTTCTTATAGAAGACCCTTTGACATTTCATATAATACTGCTTTGGTGGTGATGAACTCCTTTAGCTTTTTCTTGTCTGGGAAGCTCTTTATCTGTCCTTCAATTCTAAATGATAGATTTGCAGGGTAGAGTAATCTTGGTTGTAGGACCCTGCTTTTCATCACTTTGAATATTTCCTGCCAATCCCTTCTGCTCTGCAAAGTTTCTGTTGAGAAATCAGCTGACATCCTTATGGGAGCTCCCATGTAGGTAACTAACTGCTTTTCTCTTGCTGCTTTTAAGATTCTCTCTTTGTCTTTAACCTTTGGCATTTTCATTATGATGTGTCTTGCTGTGGGCCTCTTTGGGTTCATCTTGTTTGGGACTCTCTGTGCTTCCTGGACTTGTATGCCTATTTCCTTCACCAGGTTAGGAAAGTTTTCTGTCATTATGCTTTCAAATAGGTTTTAAATTTCTTGCTCTCTCTCTTCTCCTTCTAGAATCCCCATGATGCAAACGTTGGTACCCTTAAAGTTGTTCCAGAGGTTGCTTACACTACCTTTATTTTTTTGAATTTTTTTTTCTTTTTGCTGTTCTGAGTAGGTGTTTTTTGCTTCCTTATATGCCAAATTGCTGATTTGATTCTTGGCTTTATCTGATCTACTTCTGATTCCCTATAAATTATTCTTTATTTCAGTTAGTGTATCCTTCATCACTGATTGGTTCTTTTTTATTCTGTTGAGGTTCTCACTAAGTTCATTGAGCATCTTTATAACCAGTGCCTTGAACTCAGCACCTAGTAGATTGCTTCTCTCTATTTTGTTTAGTTCTTTTTCTGGAGTTTTGTTCTTTTTTTGTTTGAAACATGTTTGTCTCCTCATTTTGGCAGCCTTCCTGTGTTTGTTTCTATGTATCAGATAGAGCTGCTACGTCTCCCAGGCTTGGTAGTGTGGCCTAATGTAGTAGGTATCCTTAGGGTTCCATGGGACAGCCTCCCTGATCACTCAAGCTGGGTACTCAAGGTGTGCCCCCCATGTGGGCTGTACATCTTTCTGTTGTAATTGAGTTTTGATTGCTGTTGGCACATCAGTGGGAGGGATTTACCCAGGCTGGTCAGCTTCAAGGACTGTGTGACCACTGACCACTGACCTCCAACCACCATGGAGGATCAGCTGTGTAGGGGCCCACCGCACTGAGCAGTACTTACTTTAGTAGGGCTCTAGTGCGCACTGAGTCCACCCCTTGAGTATGTAATTTGTGCAGGTGATTGGGTGGTGGTGCTTCAACATGGTCTGAAGCTGTCCACCACATGTGCTGGCTCTGGGGCCTCCTGAGTGTGCAGACTAAGGTCAGCCACCACCTGTGTTCTGCTCAGGGCCACCCGGCATAAGCTACAAAGTGATCTGCAGATGGATGCTTCTTGTGCTGGGTTTGGAGGTGCCCAGCAGAGGCCAAGCTGTGAATCAGCGCTGGCTGCTGTTAGTGCTGGGCTGGGGCCACTCAGTGAGAGGTACAATGCTCACTGTGGCCAGGTGCTGCTTGTTTTAGAGATTTTAGGAATATCTGAAGCATGAGCCTAGACAGGACATTCATATGGAAAAGCCACTAGAAACAGCTTGAGTGGGCCTGAAGGTTGTAATTTAAACTAACTATGTATGAAAAGTTTAATTTAACAGAAAATTTTTCTATAGGTGTTACAGTAATTTTAAATTTATACAGACTAGATCTAATAAATGCAATGTATTCACCAGCCACCAAGAAGAAACAAATGCACAGGGCTGGGGTGTGGCTTAGTGCATCGGGGAACATTAGCTGGCAGGTGTTAAAACTGCTGCAGAAACTCACATCACGTGACAACAGAAAAAATTACCACATTCGATGCAGTGTGATCACATGCTAATCACTCGCCAAACATTATTTATGAGCAGTGACTCTTGGATTTAAATATGTAGACTATAGCTGTAGATATGTTACATGTTTTTATGTAGGCAAAATTACTACAGTGTTTTTTCCAATATATGGCCCATTTGCTAAAATTTGTTAAAAATAACAGTGAATAACAAAAAAACAAAAAAATAGCCTGTTAATTTAATTTTAAGCAAATTTTGGTTAAAGTCATTTTAAAATTAACAGGGTATTAATTTTCACATAAGACATATGAACTGGAAATCCTGTCCATTAAATCCAAAGTCCGTTAAATCGAGGTCTGTAAAGCCAAGGGTTTACTGTACTGAAGTATGTGTATACTCCAGAATTATTTCATGATTTTACCATTGGTTGATTTTAAGAGTAAATTTTAAAATGCATTTATTTACTTACTATATTATTATTGCATAATGATCAATTCCAATGTAGTGATTACAAATGTTTCTCTGCATCTCCAATATGTCATTTACAGGGCAATATCCTCAGCATAAATTTCAAATGCAATTATCTTATTATGCCTCATTAATTTTTCAAAGTCATTTCAAATTTATGTGTTGTTTTCTCTGAGTTCTTCTTAGAGTTCTCAGTCCTCTTACTTCATCCTGGACCAGTGTTTTGCAAGAACTGTTACAATATTCATCCTGGGACATTTGTCACTGCTCTCCTGGGCATTGTCCACTATTAGCCAGGTCTCACATCTGTCAGTTTTTTGCATTTCTTCCTTATTTTGCTGGATTGGTATTATTTTTAGCTAGTGCCATGTTTATAAATTAGTCAGTGTGAGTATGGCTAGTGATGAAGACATGATTAGGATTTCGGGGGGGGGAGGGGGGAAATCATTGGGAGTGAAATACGCCAAAGAGTCAAGTTACTGGGACTGGGCCAGTGACTATAGGGCCTAAGAACATCAGTTAATCCTTCACACAAGATGGGGACACAGAATTTGTCATCTTTCCCACCTTGGTCAGATGTGGCAAGGGTCAGGTTTGGGTCACAGACTCAAAAGAGGGAAATATGATGAAATTGATAAGAAAAGGGGGAATTTACAAGTGACTGAAACCTCTGAAACTAAAGAGCAAATAAATTACTTTAAAAACTTATTCTGATTCTTTAGATTTCAGTAACTAAAAGAGATAAGTAATAAGTTATTGGGTTAGCATATTTTTGTAGGATAATATTTTTGTTGTTGTTCTCTGACCTCCAAACAGCTCCACAGAGGCGTTTCATGAGTAATCTATTTAGAAGAAGCCCCTCTCCTTGCTCTGTCATCCTCTCTTTTACCTGGCATCATTTTTATCCATAGCACTTATCACTTCACATTATATTACTTCTTTCTGAAAAAATATATAAAATATGAATATATAAGTACACATTTACAAACAAATGTATTAAGTGTAAAATGTAAACTACATTAAGGAGATATGTTTCAGTCGTTTGCTTTAGAATAATACAGCGCGTCACAAATATGCCCTCAATTAATTGTTGAGTAAATAAATAAATGCGTAAATAAGTGAAGGTTTCTGAACCCAGAAGCAAACATGTTTATTTTTCTTTTCAAAGTTAAACAGGTAGAATCCACCTATGCAATGAAATGCATTGCACTTATATCAAGGGAGACAAAATTAATTGGGCAAGGGTGGGATGAAAATCTGTGTCTGTGAGAAGGAAGTAGAGCCTTTGAAGATTTAGGAGGTAAACTACTACTCGAGGTTTCAGAAAGAAGATTAGACTACTGAACGACTTTTCCTTGGGTAATTACCTGCTAATAAAGCACCTTTATGAGGATGGTGGAAACGCCCATTGCTCCAGGGCAAATTGAAATCAGTGAAAATTCTGAATTTCATGGTGAAAGTCTTTGGTCTTTTCCATTTCTTCACGGTTTGCAGATCAGAACATGGTAGATCAGAATATATAGGTATTGTCTTTCCCAACACCATGAAATGTTTCTTCTATCCTTGTAGTGCTTTTATTTTACCCCATTTCAATCCAGACATTATCCATCATAAACATAATATTTTCTGTTAAGAAGAGAGGAACGAAACATCAACTTGTCTTCTGATTTCGTTATCTGAATAGTCTAGAATTTCAGTTTTTCCTTTTGTTTAATATTTATCTCTTTTTTCATTTCTCAGTCTTATAGTGATGAGGTGACTGTGCAAGTGCATAGACTTTTGTCTATCTCTGTGCCAAACCCAAACAGTCAAATTACTGGCTCAAAGCAAATGCTTTAAGACCTCAAAGAAGCACTGGATAGATTCATCCTTGGAAGAAGAATTTGAGCATCATATAACTTTAGAAAAATAGGTTAAAAGCTTTAGGTCAATCCATTTCATTTTTAATAAACAAGTAAAGTGAGGCGTAGAGGCTTTCCTAAGTTACTTAATATTAGAGAAAGCACTAAAGCTCATGTTATCCACATATTTCCTGCCCCTATCTCTGCCTCCACCCCTAGCCCCCAGTCAGAATACAGTTTCTTCCTCTGTCATAACAAAAAGCTCATTGCATTTGTACTTGGTTGCAATGAATTATGAATATTCCTTACTATCTCTTACCTATTCTGTTTTTAAAATGTTTCCAACTCTATAGTACAAGGTAATGTCTTTTTCCTTGTGTCAATTATCATAACATAATCTTCCTAAATTCACTCCTCATAGTCCTTTGTTTTTAATTCTGTGGGAGGTGGCTCTGTCAGCCTATTGCACAGTGCCCAGTCTTTCTTGAAAGTCAATACAGGTGTTTTTATTAATAATAATATTTAACGGTTGCTTTCCACTGAGCATTACTGTGATTATTTATGAATGCATTAATAATTTATCCATTTACAGATACTGATGGAACATGTGTCATACGGTTGTGACTATGCTAGATATTCAAGACATGGTGAGCATGCTCTTCACTGACTAATCTTGACCATGAGCAAGGCAGTTCTCCCTGTTTCAACTCTGCACTCTTCTGTTGATATAAATACAGACCCTACCTTCCTCCCAGAATTCAAGTAAGTAGAGTTCAGATCCTAACCTGCTGGGTACACTCCAAAGAAAGAATTGTCACTTTCAAGTGTATCCCCCTTTTTTCCAATGGCTGCTTTGTGTGTGTTGTTGGGGGCTGGAGGGAGGGGGTGGGTATCTAATTACCGGAATTCTTAGTAGCCTCCCGTTTTTTTCTCCGCTTTCTCTTAGTACTATTTTTTTCTTGATTTTGTATTGTTCATTAATATCCTGCTTTTAATTTCTCAGGGCTCTCTTCAATCCAAGAAAAAAGGGAAGTAAAAAGGGAGGAAAAAAATTTTGGTGAGCATTAACTCACCTGTGGCTTTCTGGGAGTTAGTAGTAGGTTAAGTAGTAAATGCAATTATGACACTGCTCTCACAGGCACAATGTAATTAACAACTTTACATATGAGAAGTAAATATGCTTGTGTTTGTATTTCTGCAGGGTACTCTCAAGTCTGGAGATCCCTTCGGTTTTCCCACAGATTTAAAAAGGAAGTGATTGTTTATGTTTAAAACCCACATTTTTCTCCTAAAACCATTTCTTCAACTTGGTGTTTTACTGGAGGAAGTTAGAAAAGGGGAGATAAGATGCGTGCAGAAGTAACAGTTCTGTTTTTGACACTATTTTTTTGCTTGGTTTCTAGAGAGGTAGTTCACTCAGCTTAGTCCCTGCGTGCAGAGATCACCCAGAGACAACAGCTCCTGTGAACTTCAGTGGGCAGCACAGCACACGGAGTGACCGGATCGTGCTTTATTTGTCCAGTGATGCCTGAGGAAGTGACTTACGCGACTCTCAAATTTCCAAATCCTTCTAAGTCAGTGCAACTCCAGGAGTGCTGTAGTCTCAAGAGAACAGGTAAGATCCTCCCTCCAGGATCAGACAGACCAGAGGAGATTACCCACCTTACTGGTGGATTCTCCTGTCTTCAACTCAAGGCTGTTAAGATCAGTTATGGAGTGCTGGTTCATAGTGAAGTCGCTATGCCAGAGCCTAGTTTTGTCTGTCGTATTTAGTTTGTAAGATTATTACTGTGTGTAAAAAAAAGACTGTGTCCTAAGCCTCTGGAAATCCTGGGGTCACCACAATAGCATTTCTTATATTTTTTAGAGATTATAGGCTATTTGGGGAAGGAAAAACAGTAATAGCATGAGAATAACTCTCCAAGATTTGTATTTAACTGCTAAAAGATATAAAATAGACATATGCTATGAGACTCATAGGACCACTTCTCTACTCAGGGATGTTGTAAACCTTTCTTTCCAGGAAGGAATAAGACTGAAGGTTCCTTATCTCAACATAATATAATTCCGGTTCACATAATTGCAGTCTGTTTTATTCAGCAATCCAGTCCCTAGAAAGTTAGAGATAACAATGAAGCAGTAGGAAGATGATTTTGGAAAACATCAAGATCATATTTGTCTTTATTGCTATGGGATACATGGTTTCTTGTGCATTCCTGAGACTATTTTTGTTATTTATAATTTGTTATTTACATATTTTAATACTTTTGCATATTTTAAGTCCTTTTGATCTTAATATAAAATTATATATTCTATAAATATGTGGAATTTTTAATTTACTAATTTAGCCCAAAGTATTTTACATTCAAATGATGAAGAAAAAGCACTCTGTATAAACAAATCTGATTATAGAATTTTAAGTATCAGGTTGATAGATTATGTTTTAGAGACAAATTTCCCAAATAGACTCATCTTCTCTATGATGCTGGATAAAGGCACTGTAAGTATCTAGGGAGAGGTATTAGGGCATCACTATCCAATCAATCTCATAGGCAACTGACTTCAGGAGCTTATAAAAACTAGAGAGGCAACTTGTGTTCCCAATATTACTTCCCAATAATCAACAGCTGTTACTAAAATTATTTTATAAGAATTTTATTCTTTTACACACATCTGGGTAGACAGCTTGAATTTCACTTTTGTGAAGGTTCACAAAAAGTTTGTCTATTTAAAAATAAAAATAAAAAAAATCTATCATCAGAATCAAGCCAGAAACACTGGGACCATCTGGATAGTTAGGAAGAAAAAAAGAAGACGAGTGGTTTCTTAAAACACTTTTACTTTTTCCCCCCTGCAAAGAAAACCATGAAGTGCCAGAAGCGGAGCTGGACCAGGGCGCTGGGAGCGAGGCGAGGGACCCCGAGCGCCCCGCTGCGGCGGCGGGGAGCAGGGCGGCCGCAGGTGAGGCGTCAGGGGCCACGGCCGGGCTCGAGCGCGGGCGGAGACGCTGGGCCTGACCGTGAGGGGCTTTCTTCTAAAATAAGAAAAGCTTCAGCAAGTGAGGTGCGGAAGATAAACACGCGGCGGTGAACGCATGTCCTTCAGTTACGGGAAACCATCTCTTTTTTTATTATCTTCTCCATCTACCTTTTCTGAATTTTTCTTATTTTTATAATATTAAACTTCATTTTTTTATTCCCTTCCCCCCCTTTTTTTATCATTTTATCCTTTTGTTATAATTCATGGATGATCTTCTTAAATGGCCTTTTAATTTTCCTTTCTAGAAATGGGTTCTTAGTATTATTTTATTTCAACAAATTCTTGTTTTCTAAAAGCTTCTTTTATAACATTCTGTCTTATGTGTGTATGGAAAATTGTATCTCTCTGATAGTTTTTTTAAAAATTTATTTTTAAGTCGACTTTATAGAAGTATAATTTCAATTACTTTATTGAAGTAATTTAAATCACTTTTAACGTATAGTGCATTGTACTTAACAAATATATACCTATATACCACCACCCAAAAGGCACCTGTGTGCTTTCCAAGTTATCCCCACCATCATCATCACCAATCTTAGCAGCAGATAATCAATGACTTACTTTCTGCCTTCCTGGGCTATTCTGCCTGGTCTAGAATTTTATATAAATGGATTCAAAGAACATAAAAGCTACGTTACTGTCTTCTTTCATAAGCATAATGTTTTTGAGATTCATCCATGCTATGTGGATCAGTAGTTAATTCCTTTTCATTGCTGAGTAGTAGTCCATTGCATGGATATGCCACAATATTTATCTGTTCACCTGTAGGTAGATATTTTAGTCACTTCCAGTTTGGGGCTTGTATAAATAAAGCTGCTTTAATGTGCCGTCTTTGTGTAGACATTTTCTAGAAATTTTATTAGGTAAATATCAGCCTAGAAGTAAGAATTCTAGCTTGGATTCGGGTATGTTTAACTTTATATGAAACTGTAAAAAATGTTTTCCACATGTATTTACAGAACGTTTGAAGTTTTCTCATTATGTGATCTTTGCTTCCCTGAAACTCCTCTTGTCTGTGTTTCATTTTTTCTTCAGTCTTTCATGTTGCCAGTTTTCTTCAAATATCTGGTGACTCTTGGTTGCCTGTACCCATTTGAGAATATGACCCCAAATCAAATTTGTGGGACCCCAGTGAATGAGAGATGGGTTTGTTAAATTGTCGCCTTCATGGACTGGGGCAGTTCACTGGAAAACTCATTGTCAATATTTGTAGGGGTTTTTCCCCCTCTTGGCCAGTTAATTGCTCTGGAGATGAATCCTGTAATACACTGCCTCAGGCAGTGTTTTATGAGCATGGATAAGAGAAGGGGTTGACGTGGGGGAGAAAATACAGAATGAGGGGAGTCTACCTGTATCTTACATAGATTTTTAGATACATTTTCAGTGTTCAGGTCACTTATACCTCCACATAGGAAGTACTAGATATCGCCAATTCATGGAACTTTGGTGTGATCTTGAGAATCAGCTTGCTTCTTTTGTTTCCTCAACTCTGACTTTGGTTCATTTTCTAAGGGTCCACAAAATTACTAGTAGCTTTTTTTGTCTTTGATCTTTCCAAAATTCCATTTCCTTGGTTTCCTTTCTCTTATCATGAATCTATGCCTTCTTTCTACATGGTATTAGAGTTTTTAGAGAAAACCAAGGAAAAGGAATGAGATCTATCTATAGCAATTAATTCCAGCTGTTTAATCACCATTTCAGTCCTCCCAAATGCACTGTTATTCTGTCTTTTCCCCTCATTTCCTGTTATCAAATACCTCCCCTGAATGGACTAGCACAGGCAGAACGCTGAATGTATGTATATGTCCAAAACTCTTATGGGGTTCCAATGAGGAGACGAGATGATGCATTTGCTTACTTCTGTACTAGTTAAGAGATTTATAGAACAGAAACTTTAGGGGAAGATTCAGCTATCTGTAGTTCACGACAAGGGCCAAGTCTCTTGATATTATTGCACTCCACAGAGGAAAGGTGGCGCCATCCTTCTTGTGTGGTGTCAGGAGGACTTGTTTATCTTTCTGGCCTCAGAGGATTAGTATCCAAACTAAACATGCATGCAAAACAGGTCCTCTGTAATCCTAAATCATAGAGTGTGATAGACCTTGCATCTGAGAGGACATCGAACCAGGTGTTTTTTTTCATGGGACATGGAATTAACAGCTTGTCATCTGGTATGCCATTGACACAGTGACAGACACGTGCTTTACATCACACATAGGCTTAATGCTTCTTAAAGTACTCCAAAGGTTGATTTCAAACACAAGAGTAAATAAAACTAAGACAAAACAAGTAACAATAGCTGCTGATTTTAGGGGACTCAGAGGCCAGAGGAGGGAGAAAAAGCCAAAGACCCCAAATAGCTCCTGGAAGAGAAAGATAATCAGAGTAAACAAACAACATAACAACATCATTTAAGATATTAAATTATGGCTTCGTAAAGCTTTAAATTGAAATAACATGACTTCCATTGTGATAATTTTAGTGGGTGAGCTGAAAGAAAGGGTGAAGATCATTGACGCCCAAGTTGATTGTCCTGGAAGATTATACAGAAAAAATTATTTAAATTAAAGAGATAAAAATCATGATGGACTTCGATAATAAAGCCAAGTGATCTAATATGTAAATAAGATTCCATAAAGAACAAAAAGAACAGTTATAAACAAAGAAATGATTAAAATACAATTGGATACTCTCTAATACTGAATAAATATGGAGAAAAAAATTGTCATTTATTCATAACAAATTCAGAAAAGATATAATTCATCCACTCTAAATAAAATAAAATAAAAATCACACACTCTATCTGAGAAAAATATTCAACAAAATTTCTAGAAACAAGATTTAATAAAACCTAATAAAATAAGGGAAAGTTTAGAGGCAATTAGAAAGTAGTAGCTGATGATGGGATGATTACAATAAAATTATAATAGTGAGTGCTAAATTACTTTTACAATGGAATAAATATATTACAAGAGACAATCTGTAATAGTCTAGAACAAATTTTACTAAGTTCTCTCATTAAAACCTAAGGTCAGGGAGAGAATAGATGAGGGAATAAAGATATTATAAAGGTTCAGGCTGGACAGTGAGATTGATAATTATATATTAATATTATATTATTATAATTCAGAAGCAGTGAATTATTAGGGCACTGGTGGAAGGAGTAAGGTTGGTGTCTTATTTCATAGCATAAAAGAGAAATATGTGTCTAAGGGCTAGTAACTGGTATTAGAAGAAAAATATATAAGTAAAACTTCTAAATTACTAAGGAAAAAAAAATCAAATAAATATCAAGTCTAGATTAAATCAGGAAAAAAGTATGTTAAGTAATAATTAAATATATAATTCATGAAGTCAATATAAAAACCATAAACCTATATGCACCAAAAAATGAGGCAGATATATAAAGCAAACATTATAGGAGATTTTATTAGAAATAAATTTAACTCAGAGTCTTTGATATGCTACTTTTGTTACTATAGAATACCTAGCAAAAAATCTGATAAATTTGAAATAAATGATTTGATAATTAAATTAATACACTTATTTTATAGAGATAAACACATATCTTATATGATTGCAAATTCTTAAGATAGTGTATCTTTAGAACAAAGAGTTGGTAATTTATTTTTAAAAAACCTACCAAATATTAAATTTTTAGAAATTAATAGACCTATATCTTTCTGATTATAATACTATAAAATTAGAAATAATAATATTGGGATAACCCAAATAATCTTAAATACTTAGGTAAAGATATATTCCTAATAATATTTTGATCAAAACAAACAAAACAAATGAAATTACAGATATTTATAATGTAATGCAAAAGAAAATATTTCTTTTTGAAAACAGCTAGAGTTATTAAAGAAAAAGGTTTATCACCCGCAATCTTTCATTATCAGAGAAGAAAGACTAACCGAACTTAATACAAATATTAACCAAAACAAATTAAGAGAGAACCAATGAATTTAAAAGCTTAAATTAGAAATAGAAAATTGTTTAAAACAAAATTTAATCTGAAGACTGGTTTCATTAAAAGGAACCCAATAGACAAATTAAGGAAATATGGTGAAAGCAAAATTATGAGATATTAGGAATAAGTGTTAAAATATAGTCATAAACTGGAAGAGTAGATATAAGTTTCATCTATGCAACTTTATGGCAATAAATTTAAAAATCTAAGGGAAATAGGTGATTTTCTAGTAACATATTAAAGAGAATACTTGAAAAGATCAATCACCAGAGAATTGGTAGAAAATTGGATTAAATAATATATTTCAATACTAGTGTGGAAAAGTAAGGAAGAATCTCCAGCAGGTGGTCAACACTGATTACATGGAGTTGGGAAGGTAGACCAATGAAAGCCAGATTAGGAAGGTAGGAGGGGGGAAAACAAAGACTGCTAAAATATAAACCAGGGTCCTGGCCCGTGTGGCTGTCCGTTGCCCCAAGAGGTAGCTAGTTCGATTCCCCATCAGGGCACATAGCTGGGTTACAGTGGCGGGGAGGGGCGGGGGGAGTAGGGGCGTGCATGAGGCGGCCTATCCGTGTTTCTCTATCTCATCAATGTTCTTCTCTCTCTAAAATCAATAAATGACATATTCTTTTTAAAAAATGAGTTCTTCATGTCATTTTCCTGAATTCATGCTTCTTCATAGGACAGTACGTTCCATCAAAATTATGGGGCCCTGTTGCTTTCGTTTTCCTGATGCTGAACTTGATAGTGCTGGCTGCACTGGGAACCCTGATCTTAATGAGTAAGTTTCCACTTTTCTCTGAGGCTGTTCCTTGGTTTTATCAGGCACATTGCATTATTCTGATATTATATTACTTAATATTTTGAGTATTAATGTTATCTCTAGCTCTTCACAAGCAATCTCTTTTAATCTTTACCACAACCATATCTTATAGTTACGTTTTTCCTCAGTTTCCAGGGTCACCATGCCCAAAGTGCTTTTTACATTCTCTGCGGACATTAAGTGACCAGTGAAGAATATTTGGTCATATATCCAACATTTTATTTTACACTTTATGGTTTTAACATCCCTTTGCCTTTCTTTCATGTTTCTATCCTTTACTATATTGATCATGTTTCCTTCTCTTTGAATGCTTTCTCAACCCCTGCAATAATTTATTTCTTTAAATATTCATTAATTATTTATTTGAGAATTAAAAGACTTTTTAAAACACTCCATATTATGGGAGTGTCTCTTCCCAGGCTAGATGCTAGTGGGAAATGTTCTCCCCCCTTCCTTCCCTCCTACAAAAGTGAGTACAAAGACATCCTGAAGAAATAGAGGACAATTATTACAATAATTGCCAACATTTCTTGAATGCTCATTCTTGCTGATTTTGATCTCATTTAACCCTCATAAAACTTAAATTAAAAACTAAAGATTTTATTAATTTGCAGCGCTGCCAGGTAAACTAACATCAGTCTATCAAGAAAAGCTAGATTATACTGTGATAATACACAAAATAAATTATGAAGCTTCCTGGATCTTCTGAAGTTTTTGAAGACATGATCCCCGTCTTCCTATTTTTTTCCTTCAATTCTGAGGCTGGCGTTTAAATTACAGTTATATCTATTCAAGAAACTCAAATTCGTAATATATGGGCTTAGCAATATACTATGATGCCTCCCAGTCTCAAAAGTGTGATCTGCATTTTTATAAACTAAATAATGAATCACACCATCTTTATTTCGAAATCTCTGCTTTACATGGATCCATTTTGTTTTGCATTTAAATGCATCTGGGCATTTCCTTAAACAAGGAACTAGTGCTCCATTGGGTGACTTAAATCATTTTTATCTCAATTAATTTTAATATTAAAAGTATGTAAGGCTGGTGTTCTACATGTATGCAGCTATCATTTTACTATGTTTTCCATTAAGTTGTTAGATAGCTATTATATTAATATAATTTATTGGAAGACTTTGCATTGAAGTCTAATGGACCTCGTGCCATGAATTATAGATTACCACCAACTCTCCTTCAGCAACAGTACAGCTTATGACGGGCAACCAAGCGCCCTGGAACAGCTGGAGAGAACTATCACCTTATACATGGATATGTATAAAAATGTCTCAAGTGAGCACACTGTTTTCAAAAATATGTTAGAAGACACATTAAAGCAGTGGAACAACTCTATGTCAAAATGCTATGAAGACTTAATGAAGGAGAAGAATGGTAAGTGAAATCATTTATCTGTTTCAGAGTTTCATCAGTAACTTAGGGCGCTCTCATTTTCCCCAGCCTTTTCACTGGGTTTAAAATCTAGAAATGTTTTTGAAGTTTAAAAAAATCATGGAAATATGATAACCATTTATAAATTCTTCTGTAAAAAAACCACCTTTTGTCTTTCTTGACTGAGTTTCTTTATATGTTGTTTACTACTTTTATCAAACGGGTTTCTCTCTCTCTCTCTCTCTCTCTCTTTCTCTGATTAGATTCAGTTTTCTTGAATCCTTTCTTCTTCTTCTTTCTTTCACATTCCCATTTATTTACACTCCCATTTTAATGGACTTTAGCTGGTTACATAGGAAATAAATGTTCTGTATACATGTATGTCTGAGAAGGCCTTTATTTGGCTAGGTATAAATTTGAAGGTTAAAAGGAGTTTCTTCAAGAATATTGAAAAAATTGCTCCATTGTCACTAGGAAACAATGTTGTTAATACGAAGTCTGTTCCCAGTGTGATTTTCATTCAGTAAAATAACCTGACCTGACTTTAGCTTTTAAAATATTTTCATTTTGGGTAGCTGAAGTTTTAAGGCATTCTGGGTATAAGTGTTTTCTAATCATTTATTGGCTGTGTACTCTGTGGGCCTTCTCAAAATGAAAGTTTATGTCTTTCAAATTTAGGGAAAATGTGTGCTATTACTAAATATGTGCTATTTAATAAAATAAATATATGCTAAAAATAAAATAAGTTTATGTTTTTCTCTTTCATTTCCTCTGTTCTGCTCATGACTTCTTTGCTTTAGATGTTAAGATTTGTTGATTGTCTCTTCTTTTTTGTATTTTCTATCTTTATTTTTTTTACTATAGATTTTCTAAACTCTATTTTTCAATCTTTCTATTGATTATTATTTTGTCAATCATATTTTTCAACCTGATAAAACCTTATGTGATTCTTGAGAGTTGTTTTTTGTAGCACCCTGTTTTTACTTTTAGAGTTGCGTAGGTATATTAATCAGAGGAGTCTTAAAAGATGACTCTTGTCTTTCCTAATTTTTTTATGGCGGGGGGGGTGTGTGGACAGGTTTGTGTTTTGTTTTTCTTCTTTTCTTTTATCGTGAGAATTCTCTCTCATATGCTGGTGCTCTAACATGCCTTATAGTTCTTGCTTCTCTGTTCAGACTTAAGAAGGAAAGGGATGGCTGATTTGAGTTGGCTCTACTGCTATTAAAAGATGATGGGTTCTCCGTTAGACCTCTCTGGAGGTGAGAAATCTATCTGGACATTTAAGGGTGGATGACCAAGGAGGAAAGTATGAACAGACAACTTTTCTTTTCAAATGAAGCTGGATATAAAGGGTGGCACTAATAGTCATAGCAGAAACCTAGGCTTTGCTGGAAGGTGTTTTCAATTTCTTCAGAGAGGAACCATGTTCTTTCCTCTGCTGAAAATTCTTTACCCTCTCACTGATTTCTCTTCTTTCCATTCTTCAGTCTTTCCTTTCTTCCCTTTCATTTAAAAAAAAAAAAAAATGCCTAGTACTTGGGAAGAGACCCTGAGAATACCAACTGTTCTGAAAAAGTTTAACAATTCTTCATCTTGAATAACTAGCAATACAAGAGGAAAAACAGACGAGTAAAAAGATAATTATACCTCAGTGTAATAAGTGCACACAAACATAAATATATAATGTGAGAAACAATATAATTGGAGGAAATAGTCCCGACTGGATAGGGGTTCAATATTCAATGCTGGGAGGGAAGGCATATTGAAATAAAATTGATGAGCAATAACATGACAATCTCAGGAGAAATTCAAGGTATTCAAAATAAGGCTAATAAGAAATAAAATTGGAGTGTCATTGGGGTTCCTGTAGATAATGGAGAGGGTTTGAATTTTAACCTGAAAGCAATGGAAAAACATTGGATAATTTAAAGCAAGTTCTTATAGAAACATCACTGGAAACAGTGAGGTGATGAGGTTTCTGTAGAAAATATAGCAGATTAGAGATGGCCTAGGGTCTCATTGCAGCAATCCAAAACTACTGAAGTTTTCTCTGAGTGCTTTTAATAATCCCTTCATCATTTTTCTTCCTCTATATCTATGATTCTTTTTCTAAGACTGTTTCAGATTCAAATCCCATTTTATTTCAGATCACATTCTCTTCCTTCTCTCATATTTTAAGCAATCATCTCATTCAATCTATAACCTCTGTTAATCACTTCAATGTATAATGTAGATGTTTGGAAATTCTGATATATATGCTTATTGATTGCATATCTGTACATACATTTAAAAAATTTTAAAAAATATATATCTTTATTGATTTCAGAGATAGGAAGGGAGAGGGAGAGAGAGATAGAAACATCAATGATGAGAGAGAGTCATTGATTGGCTGCCTCCTGCACGCCCCCACCTGGGGATCGAGCCCGCAACCCAGGCATGTGCCCTGACGGGGATTTGAACTGCGATCTCCTGGATCCTAGGTCGATGCTCAACCTCTGAGCCACACTGGCCAGGCTGTAAGTACATTTTATGCATATGTGTGTACCAATATCAAAGACTTTCCTCATTTGTTTTTCAGACCTCAGATGTTGCTCATGTACAAAGTCATGCACACAACATGAAAATAAGGAAAGGAGTCTCTTCCCCCTGAGATGTGAAGTGAAAAATTGTAACTTAACTCAGGTCTGTGTTACGATTTCTGGCATGTCCACAGAAATTTATTGGTATTGTTAAGGTACAGATAAGAAGAATTTAAGTGACAGCATTAATCTTGGTTGTTCCTAATAAATGGCCTTTATACCTTTTATGTGTGCCACCTCCCTCTGAGTGGAGTCACTGGAGAATTCCTATACCATAGGTTCAAATAGCAAGGATATACAATTATTATAGTTACCAGTCCATGAAACACATCACAACAGGTAAGTTATGAATATATATTTCTTGTTCCCTATGATTGTTGGTTCTTGCAGAACAAGAAAGGAGAGAATAATGACTTATTTTCAGTTGTGAGGCATATTTTAAGGGAACATTGATGCAAATTAAATCATGGGATTCTCTTCCCCCTAAGAGTTGTTGTACACTGATGAAAAATTATAGTCTTGACTATAATCCACTTGGTATAATCATATAAATAATCTACAGTGTATCTTATTTTCACCTGTTACAACCCTACTTAGTGTTATTAATGATAAAATACAGAGAAATCAGATAAAGTTACTGTAATGCTCATGATTATTTTGCTATTGTTTTTATTAATCTTTGAGAGTAGGAAAAAAAGCCAAACTCCTAATTGTGGAATGCTAAAACCCTTACTATCCAGCACAATCTATTTTTTTAATTTGCTGCAGCATGCTCCAACCCAATAGATCTTGTTATCAGCATTAACTTGAATGAGGTTCATGTCTCTGGGATTTTTGCCCTTTATGATTTTATTACTCGAATTATTATTTTGTCCCTTTTGAACTTTATTAATTCAACTCAGTTTTCAAGTTTCAATTTTATTGCTTCTTTGGAAATTTTTCTTCCATCACAGCAAGCTCACTTTGTGGCTTTCTTTTTCATATTCTCGCATCATTACATCAACAGCTATAAATATATCTGTTCTGCTAGACTTTTAGCTCCTTAAAGGTAGAAAGTGTGTCTTACACATTATATATCCATTTGTGATATAGAGAACACTTTAAGCCTGGCTGAAATACAAGGTTTCTTCAATAGCTTGATTTTAAAAAATTATGCTCTTTTTTTCTATAAGGAAAGGTTGTACTTAGAATGTCAAAGGGGAGACATTTCATTGTTTTAACATATTATTTTGATAATTTACTGTATTAAGGGAACATCTCAATCAGGTAAAAAATTAAGAAATAGTTAAGAAATTAAGAAAAATTAAGGGATAAAATTATTTTATATGTTTTTTTATTGATATCAGAGAGAGGAAGGGAGAGGTAGAGAGAGAGAGATGTTTGATCGGCTGCCTCCTGCTCAGCTCCCACTGGGGATCAAGCCCATAACCCAGGCATGTGCCCTGACCGGGAATCAAACTATGACCTCCTGGTTCATGGGTTGATGCTCAACTACTGGGCAACACTGGCCGGGCAAAATAAAATTGTTTTAGACTAAACCAAATTGGATATGAGGTATGAAGGAAAGGGAGCAAACTCTGATAATTTTAAGTTTTCTATCTTGAATTTATACACAAGAAAATAATTTTTATGTTTGGAACCGATATTGAGTGTAAACTTTAATATGTCAAGTTTATGGTGCTTGTGAGAATCACATGAACATAAAATGTAATTGAGCTTGGAGGTGAATGGGAGTTGAACGTAATGGAGAATTAAAAAAAAAAATTATCCACTTGTAATTTTACTAAACATTAATGACTTATCAAACATTTATCAGTGATTACCATGTTCTTTTCATTGAGAATACCAGATGAATAAAGTTCTGATCCCCACCATCAAGGGTAATTTGAGCCTGGTAAGGAAGGATTTTGGTTAATTAAAAAACCAATAGACTGGGTGACAACATCCAAAATGAACTGGTATATTGAGAAAAGGAGGTGCCACAGGATAGAACCCTACATATCCACACCATGGAAAATAGGAAAACTAGCACAAGTGTTTAAGAATAAGTGATTGAAGAAATAGGGAGTGAAAAGAAGGCATGACCCAATAGGGGCTGATGATTAAATTAAAAAAAGGAGGAGTTTCAAAAATAATGTAGTCAACAGTGGAAACACCTCAAAAAGATTATATAATGCACAAATGGTGACAAGTACTGTGTATTATATGCCTATAGTGAGCCACAAAAACTGGAAAAGACCTTTTAACCTAATGTTTTATTTAACCTTAAAACAGTCTGTGATATACGTACTATGACCCATAAGTTTCAGACCAGGAAACTAAAGTTCATAGAGAATTAAGTAAATTTCTTAAGGCCACATGAGTGACAAGCACCACAATGCAGGCTCAAATTTGAGTCTGCTTATTTTCAAAGCCCAGGATATATCTAAAAACAAAAGTGTTAGTTAACAATTAAAGGGCAACTCTGGCAACAGTATTATAAATGAAACTGTGTGGGCTAAAGATTGATAACATTTTATTATTTTTCAAACAAATGTTTCTTGTGCTTATGAAGCTCTGCAACATAGACTAAATTTTAGGGATGTAATAATAAGCCCTGCCTTCATACATCTTACAGAAGCTTTTCTCTAAGGTGACTCACACTAAATCAAGAATCCTGCAAATGGTTAGTTTACTGTAATTGTGATGTTTCATAGATAAAAAATGAAAGGTGCAGTTCAAAGAGAATAGAGGTGGCTTAAAATCTGAATGAGGGAGAAGCAATAAAATAAAGCTTAAGCTCCAGATTTTCTCTTTAGAATCTTTGAGGTTAATGGAAGATGTTGCCTTTTATATCACTAAAGAAAATTCATGATGTCAGGAGAGTTTTAAAGACATTATTACTTACTTCAGGGTAGGGCCCAATGAAGAGGGAAAGATTAAAAGAGTAGGAGAGAGGGAGGTAGTAAGTTGGAAAAGAGCAGAGGTTCTCATTGGAGAGGCCAGTCTTGAATGAATGGGAACCCATTCCACAGTGAATGCAGAGAAGAAAATTAGAACCCCTACAGATGTAGGTAGATATGGTAGTATTTGGGGGACTTCATCTGATACCTTCTGTTTTTGCTTATCCTCTGATGAATGTTAAGACTGTGATGGTGTTAAGTAGGAAACCTGAGAATAAAGAAGGTTTTAAATTTTCACTGTGGGAAAGGGGACAGGGAACCAAGAAGTGAAATCATTGTTGAGTAGAATTTTGATGACATGAGCCTAGTTCTGTTGTACTTGAATTAGCTCTCAGTGGTACAAAGGAGCAGCAACTAATGTTTCTTTTGTATATAGCTGTTCATTACATGTCTTCCTTCACCTGTCTCTGGGATGAAGCGGAATCATATGCCCACCATGACAACTAAGGCAGAGAATGTTTCAGAATTTTGCATTTTGACCTGTGAGTTAATCTGTCTCTTCTATCTTGTCAATAATAAAGAAATGCCTGATATGTTAATTTTGGATATACTTATCTGACAGTCATCCTTCATATATGATCAAAGATGAAAAATAGAAGGCAAAAAATTCTGGGAGCATTTGTCTGTACCTCAAGCAACTATTATTTGTTAGCAAAAAATCTATTCCATATAAAGGAGACTCTTGGAGTAAAGAGCCTAGGAGGTAGAAATTCAAAAGATTTCCTGTACTTCTCTGCCCTTCCTTTCACATTACTGTTCCTTGCTTTCCTAGGGCACTAAGGAATGGAAAGTATAAAGGCAAAATCAAATCACTGTCAAGGGTATTGCCCTGTGCGATATACAATGACTTGTCCCTTTGGAGCCAAGAAAATTCTGCTGTGTTTCTACTACTTTACATGACATTTAAGTAGATAATATAAGCTGAGATACTTTATTAAAGGATGATTGTGCAAGCGTTTTAAGAGACTTATAATCAGAGTAACCATATGTTTTATTTTCTGAACCAGAACACTTTTGAGAGTGAGAGGAGACACTGTTGATAATTACATCAAGACACTGGGCATAAATCCAAAGTATCCTAGGCAAGCCAAGATTACTCAATGACCTCTTAGGGTGAAACTGAGAACAGGAGTCCAAGAGGTAATTTGGGAGTCCTAGACAGTTGAGGACTCTTGTGAATTCTCACAGTGGTATAAGGAATTGCCACAGCTATTGTCACTTTCTTCTCTTTTAACTGAAATAATCTAACAAGGAAAGGAAAATAAGTTTTGGATATAACAGATTGGATTTATGAAGTAACTGTCTCATTTTTAAGATAAATAAAGCATACAACTCATTTTTATTTATTTATTTTTTTAAAGGTCTGGACCCTTTATGAATGTTTCAAGTGCTGAAACAGTGAAGTATGCAATGGAAATGAAATAATTGGAAAAATCTAATGACTCTAGTAGTTAATATCTGTGACGACAAAGTAGATATGTCACATTTTTAATCCTAGGTAAATGCAAACTTATAGCTTATTATACCACAGGACATAAAAATCACCATGTAAGCTGAAACTATGTAAAAGCAATCTCAGAATCAAAGGAAAAATTTTGTGACCTTAAAACCTTTGTCTCCAAACATTAAAAACTCTTTTTCTGTTGAGTATATATACATATATATAGTGAAATTAACATTACTTATTACATTATCATTTGAAATATTAGCAACATTGCGAATTAAAGTGATTTCATTTTTTAAGAGTAGCATGAACAGTGGTACAACTTCTTCTGTAGTCCAACTTACTAAACAGATTGAGCATCTTTTCCATGCAAATTGTCTTAGCAAATTGTCATACTCCTTTCTAAGTCGGGACCAGCTTCTAACATTTTATCTTTTGTGCTCTCAAAGACATGAAATATTTTTAACAGCTCCTTTCATGTGAAGTTTTTGGCTGGCATCCCTTCCTTTAAGTGCCTTAACCTTCTTTATCACAACTACTTTTCTTACTTACGTCAATAAATTTCCTTCAGTAAATTCTTCTGAATGCATATCAAAACTCTGAAATGATGGCAGTGTCAACATTTCTACGGTCAGCTATTCCTTCTTGAACTGAATTTAGATTATTCTTTTCACAGTGAGGTAAAAGTTCTTGTCATACTTCCTTTTGCTGTTACTTCCTGTCAGGATGCTTGGATATGTTCAGTGGTATGCTTGATATCTTTTTTTTTTTTTAACTCAACTAAAGAAATTGCATGACTGTAGTGTCAAGAGCTTGTCCAATATTCCATCAAAGACACATGATTTTAAAAGTTTAAATAATGCTTTGGTTCATTGACTGGATTGATGAAGTTGTGTTTGGTGGTAAAAAGCATATTATCACTCGAGGCCCTCAGAGAATCAGTGTGACATTTTTGTTTTGTCTTGTGGAGGCAGCAAAATTAGGCTCCAGAAATTGATTTTGCCTTTGCCCGCAAGTTATTCAGTACAGGTTCACTGTGAGAATTATAATAATTATGTAAGTCAAAGCATACAGGATAATATCTCTTAATAAGCCAAATAAAGAAAGAACATACTCCCAACCAATGACAGATTAATCACACCATTGTTCTAGGCAAAGGGAGATGAGAGGAATAAAGTGTGAATTGTGAGGTGAGGTGTGCCTCTTTATTCCAGGAGGAGGCACACTTGAGAGAGTAGGGGACCAACCAACAGCTGACTTCCAGCTGCCAGCACAAAGTGGAAGTCTCCTGTTGCTGGAGCACGTTGCCCGGGAGCGAAGATGCCAGTGTTAGCAGGCAGTCTGAGCCGCTCCAAGGGTTATCACTCCAGACCCCTGCTTGGCTTCAACACCACCACCGCCCAAGGAGTTGCCTCAGCCACAGTGGGAGCAAATGTCTAAAGGGTCTTCAGAGAGTTCTTCGGTGAGCCGTCACCTCACCCAAACGGAAATTCAGACAGACTTTCAGTGTTTATAGTCTAAATGTTCCCTTGTTGGCAACCAGACCCCACCCCTTTAGGGGATGTCCAAAAGTCACCTTATTAGCATTAGCTCAGCCTAGCAGTTGTGGTTGAAAAGGGCTTGCTATGAATAACTACACTCATTTCACCTTTCCCGCGGACTCTAAAGCAATTGCTCTTTTAGTTCTACCAGTTTTTGCCTCTCATCATTTGATGTTATATTGATAGGTACAGACACATTTAAATTGTTTTAGCTTCTTAGAGAACTGACCGCTTTATCATTATGCAATACCCCTCTTTATCCCTGATAATTTTTCTTGTTCTAAAATCTGCTTTGTCTGAAATTAATATAGCCACTCCAGGTTTCTTTTGATTGGTGTTAGAATGATGCATCATCTTTCTCTACTCTTTACATTTAACCTGTGTCTTTACAATTAAAGTGGTTTCTTGTAGGCAACATATAGTTGTATTTTTTTTTTTTAATTCACTCTGAAAAGCTCTGGCCTTAATTAAGGTATTTAGGCCATTTACATTTAAAGTATTTATTGATATAGTTGGATTAATATCTGCCATACTTATATCTTTTTTTTTTTTTTTACTCTTTGAACCAGTTAGGTTTTTTCCTCTCTTTTTTTCTGCCTTTTCTGGTTCTATTTGAGCATTTTATATAATTTTATTTTTGTCCTTTCTTAGAATACCTATAACTCCTCCTTTTAAATTTTTGTAGTGGTTGCTCTAGAGTTTGCAATGTGTATATATAAGTCTCTGAGCATGTATTCTGACTCTAAAACCCTGTCAAAGTCTAAAAATCTAGCTGTTCTGCCTTCTGAAAACCATTGTTATTCACCACCAAAAGCTTTATAAATTCAAATACTCACTAAGCATTTCTTTTACCTTCTTGCTTTAATTAAAATCTGCTTCCCCTTTTAGGTTCCCTGCAGATATCTCAAGTGTTGGTGGCTTTGTTTACCACATCCCTCATACTAGTGAACCTGAAAGTTCTCTTTTTTTCTCTTTTCAGTTTCCAGACCACCTTTCCTCCCTCCATCTCTAAAATTTCTAGCATTGACTCTTGACTTCAGACAACTACAACCATTACTCAACACTCACTATTTCAGTCATCTTCCAGTCCTTGGTCATTTCCCTCATTTCTTGAAGAAATTAGCTCACTGTTAATCTCTCTAGCACTAATACTCCCTTAATGTTTAGTGGTTTGTCTATATAGACCAGCCTTCCAACATTCTAGACACTTAATTCTTTGACCTTAGATAATCTTGCATTTCTTCTCATATATTCTACTAACCCTTTTGTTCATTATCTAAAATTCATTATTTTTAATACCAGGAACCCCTCCATAATCTTAATTTGAAGTGACCCATGCTCTAAATTCAGCCTCCTACATTTTCAAATCGTTTCCTCCATTGTTCTGACTCCATGAAATGTTTGCTTTGCCAGATCCTATTATTCAGCCGCCCTTTACCCTTTTGTTACTTGCTGCCTCATATTCTCACTCTCCTCATTACCCATTTAAATTAGTAAACAGTTTATAATCATCCCCTTAAATATACTCTTAACTCCCTTGCTTCTATTTCACTTCCTTGTACTGGAAACACACCAACAAGAATTACTGTGAATCTTAGACTAGCCCACACCTACACCCATGCAGTTGATAGTGACTAGACAAATCCATATCCGCTAACCTCAAATAGGTCTTAATGCTGCTCAAAATCTATAATCTCACTAGCTTATTCACTCATCAGCTCACCTATCCAATTATTTCATACATTTTCCCTTCAAAACTCAAATACTTCATTCCTTATCCTCACTTTCAGTTAATAACCTTGTTTCTTTTCTCACTGAAAAAAATACAAAAATTAAAACTTCCACGAACTCCCAGCACTATAGCTCTTAAAGTATGTGCATCATTGTCCACATATTCTGCCCTCGTGTATCTGCTATGGGCACACCATCCATGACCCTGACAAACATTTCACTTTCTTACTGTATGCCATCCCCATCCACCTTTACCTACTCAGGGCATCATTATAGCAATTTTCTTCTCTCTCTCCTTACATCATCAAATTTCCTTTTCTACTAAATCATTCCCAGGTACATAAAAACATGTATTAGTACTTCTATAGTATTGCATCATTTCTTTTCTGCCCTTCACAGGAAAATTCTAGAGTTGAAAATACATGCTGCCTTTCATTCTTCTCTTCCTGTCCTCTCCTGAACTTCCATTAACAAAGTTTTCTATCACAACACCAAGATTTTTTTCAACACCTCTGACAACAACAAAAATGAGGTTAACATCGGCATCAAGGAGATGTATTAAGAGGCAGTTGTGCCATGTCAAAAAATATGGAGTGAATTCAGTGACTCAGATATAACTTTAATTTATAGAGCTTATCAGTGAATGATATAGAACTTCTAAAGTCACTATCAGGAAAGACAAATATGACATAGTAAACTTCTTGCTTAGAAATTTCTTTTATCTCTCAATTACTTAAAGATTTTAGTCCAATCTGCTTGCCATAGTAAAAAAGTGCCTTCACTATCTGTTTTTTATCCTACCCTACCCTACCCTACCCTACCCTACCCTACCCTATCCTTCTACTCTACTATATTCTATTCTATTCTATTCTATTCTATTCTATTCTATTCTATTCTATTCTATTCTATTCTATTCTATTCTATTCTATTCTATTCTATTCTATTCTATTTTTCTCCTATCCTATCAATTCTATTCGGTTGTACTCTATTCTATTCTTTTCATCACATCTAATTCCTTTTTCTATTATACACACCATGCTCTAGAAGTAATCTTTTCACCATTCTTGTCATTTTTGTTGTTTTTCTTTGCAAATTGGCCTGTCATAGTACAATGTGCATTCTTCCCTTCTCAATCTGATATACTCCAGTTTTATTAGAGGTGGTAGGAAAAGAAATTCAAAATAGAGTCAACTTTATATTTAAATGACTGGATGGTAATATATTTCATAAAAAAAGAAACACATGAGAGATGAATTTGTGTTAGAAATTCTATTGAGTTTAGTTTTTTACCACATGAATGTAAACATAAGATTAAAGCTCAGAAAATAGAGAATGACAGGAGACACACACACACACACACACACAGAGAAGAGAGAAGTCTAAAGATATAAATTTTGAACCATCAGTATGTATGTTCATTAAATATTTATTTGACAAAATGTACTAAACAGCAATTCTGTGGAAGCCACTTTGAATACAAAGATAAAGACGTTATAGCCTCCCTTTAAAAGATGCTAGAATTATTATAGAACAATAGGTGCTGGTTAAAATAGTAAGAGTGGAGAATTAAAAAAGAAAACAGCCAAGAATATAGGAGCATACAAGTTATTAATGGTGAGTAGATAAGATCTCTGTGTTAGGGTTTTGCTGAGAAACAAAAGCAATAAGATATATGTAGATAAGAGATTTGCTATGGGGATTGGCTGAGATATGCCACAATCTGCTGCAAACTGGAGACTCAGGAAGGCAGTGGTATAATTTGGTCCAAATCTGAAAACCAGAGAAGTCAATAGTATAAGTCCCAGTCACAGGAGAAAGGCCTGAGAACAGGGGTACAGGCCATTGGTATCAGTCGCAGATTCTGAAGGCCCAAGAATCAGTAGGTCTGATGTGCAAGGGCAGAAGATGGATGTCCCAGCTCAAGAAGAGAGAAAAATGCCATTCCTCTGTCTGTTCCTTTGGTCTGTTTGGGCCCTCAACGGATTGGACGATGCTTGCCCCCATTGGTGAAGGTGGATTTTCTTTCTTCATTCTACTGACTCAAGTGCTAATTTCTTCCAGAAATACTTTCACAGGTATATCCAGAAATAATTTTTTTTAATCCTCAACTGAGGCTATGTTTTTATTGATTTTAGAGAGAGATGAAGGGAGAAGAAGAGAGAGAAAGAGAAACATCAATCAGTTGCTACCCATATGCAACCAGACTGGGAATCGAACCCCCAGCATAGATATGTGCCCTGGCAGGGAATCGAACACATGACCTTTTGGTGTACAGATGTCACTCCAACCAACTGAACCGCACTGGCCAGGGCCAGAAATAATTTTTTCTAGCTATCTGGACATCCCTTAGCCCAGGCAAGTTGACACATAAGATTAACCATCACAATCAGTCTAGTACAGAATAAGAGATATGTCTAGAAAGTTGCATTGTCAAAGAGAATGAATGATATAAGTGAAAGCAGAGGAAGAAAAAAAACTTAGACAATAAGTTAATACTTTCTTTAGCAACTTCAGTCATAGCAGTGGATAAAATGACACTGAATAACATATTCTGGGAGTCATAATGTGAAGCATACAGGCAATTACATATTTTCTTATCACAATAAGAAAATTTTCATTATAAGAGAAGCTTCTTAATGGTAATTTTATTTATTATATGTACTTTCTCACCTTCAAATTACTTTTCAACACACTCTAGAGAACTTGAGTCATATTTAAGATCTCTGTTGATCATAAAATTGCCAGTTAAATAGACAGTTTTCAGTTCTAGAACATTTCACACTTAGGTGAGGAATGCCTCTGAAATTCCCTCATTCTTAACCTCACTTGTGGTGGCCCTATAACTTCTTTGACTACTTTTCTACCTCTATGGGCTCGTTCTCTCCACTTGTTTTCTTGAAGCTCTATTTCAGACCTCTTTTCCCTCACACATGACATTTTCTTCAAATGCGCAGACATTAACCCTTACCCACATGTAGATAAAGCTCACATCATTATTTCAAGCAGTCCCCTCCCAACTCCAGAGCAAATTTTCATCTTCCCAACTGGGCAATTTTTTCTGATTAATCCAAAACAACAGCAAACTCAATACAGACAAGTTTATTATACAACAGCTCATTTTTCAGTGGAGGAATATGGGAAACATTTCCTACCCTAATTTCACCCTCCTCCTACCAAAGTCAAATAATTTCTAATAAGGAAACTTTATTCTTCTATGTCTGTCACATTCTCCACTTTAGCTCCTTCTGTGTCCCAATCATTTCTCACCACTAATAATGCAGTTTTCCATGTCTCCTCCATCTTAATGTCCATTTATTAGGTTAATCTTTCTTTTAAAAAGTCAGAAAATATCCAATCCCTAATTCATGCATTTCATTGGATATAGCCAAATTTTTAACACATTTCTATAAGGTCTTTAATTATGCACCATGATATCAATACATAGAAGTTATGCCCAATTATGTATGTTATGCAAATGTGCATGATCTAAATGTGTGATCCTTTTACTCTTAATCTGTTTATGTTATTTGTCTAGTAAACCATCAGTTTAAGATAACCCACACCTCTATAACTTTTTTCAGTTATTCCCTACTTTCCATACAACTCTAGTGTAAAATAATTTTAGTATCTTCCATGCCTTTTTCTCCTCTCCCAGAACATTATGTGTCTATCTGCCATATAAAACTCTCAATCATATGGGGAAAAAGACATATCTCCAATGTTGTTTATTATGTACCACATACATAATATTCTGTGTACAAATATTTTATGTACTTCATAAAATAAGTATCTATAATGCTTACTTTCCTTAAACCCACAAAATATATATCTTTCATCAGAGCCTTTGCCTGTGCTTCTCCTTGCAACTTTAATATTATATTTTATATTTGCCAGATTAATTCCTAATCATTCTTCACACCTAGTATGGGTGATTTAATGGTAGTGGAACATATCAAAATCGTGTAACCAATTAAAATAAACTTCAGTCACATTATTACTTGGCCAATGCTTGAGAGAAGATACAGAGTGGTGATCTCTTAAAGTAGTAGCAGCAGAAAGAAAAAACACAAAAAACCTTATTCTTAATTTCTAAATAAACAAGAAAAAAAAGATTTTTTTTTTTGGTATTTTAATTTTACCTATCTATCATCTAACCAGTTTAGGCAAGCTGTTTATTGATTATGAACAAGCATCTAGGCATAATCTGGATTGCTACTATTGAGTTCTTAGAAATGGGAAGTGTAGAGCATGGGTTTCAGCTCAGTCCAGAACTATGTCTGCTGTATGCTTGCCTCACTCAGACCTAGTAGAATCCTTTGGAAATACTTCCGGTTTCTCATAGAATGATGTTTTGAAGACGGAGGAAACACTTGCTCAAACTGTTGTAATCTTTGGTGAGATTAGCACAGAGAATGTCTTTGATGACTCAATTGCTTTTTTCACACCAAGTGTTTTTCAAAGAAATTTCCCCCTTAGAATATGCATGCAGTTTAGAATAGAGTGGGAAAAAAAGAATACTTCAAACTAAATTAAAGGGGCCTATGCAAACAAATTTTTGCAAATAAATTTGTATTGCTTTCAAATATAGTAAGTGAAAAAAATTAATTTTCTTTTGGTCATGAAAAACACAAAATTTTAACATAAGAGACTGCAAAACAGTTAGTTCCCTTTTCTTTTTTGTGGTTTAGAGAGGTGTGCACTTAAATTTCCCATTGAACATCTTATTGTCAATAGGTCAAATATTATACTATGGATATGCTTTACAGAAAAAAATTGCATTTTTTTCACTGAAAACTATATCTGTAATTTTCATTTCTTCGTTTACAACTATTGCAATTCACAAATTTTACTCTAAAATTCTTGAGTTATCTGCTTTACACCTTTTAGTCCTATGTTGGGGTTTATGGGTTTCACATAGACATAAATCTAAATATTCTGTTGTATTCATGACTTCTCTACTGGAGCTTGGAAGAACTGTTCAGCATGAGAATCTTTTTCTAAGGAATTGAGTGATAACAGATTTTTTCAAAATGATGCCAAGTTTTAGTGAACTGGCAAAACAACATGGCTCTGGGAGAATGTAGAAAAAATATATTTTCCATTGTTAGCTTTGATTTTAAAGCCTAGTCTTTTGTCCTTAAATCAAGATACCCTTCCTACTTTCATAAGGCAGAGAATAATAGAAAAAGGTAGAAGACAAAGTGTGAAGAATTACTGATGAGAAAGAAGATTACAAGGCCAATCTAAAGTTTATACCAGAACTAAGGATGGAAGCTTAAAAGTCAAGTTTATAAACTTTGCTAAGGACCTGCCGAGACAAGAAATAAGACCTGAAAAACTTCCATAGCACAATAGTGAATTCACTAAACAAAAGTTTTCATTCTCTGTATGTTTAGACATTAACCGTGATTCTCCAGTTTGTTTATCATGTATTATGTTGTAATGTGTTCTTTGAAATAAAATGCTAATGTTGCATCTTTTCTCAGAGTATTGCTATTTTTATTTTTACATTTAGATTTGAATCTGAAGTTTAACTTCATGTATAATGTGAAACCAGGATCTACCTCTAATTTTACACCTTTATTGCTGGAATTCTACCATGTTGCCCTTTTGAAACAGTACACCAAAAGGTAGAGAAGAAAGTGATGCTGATGAAAAATTTTCATTTGTATAGCACTTGACATTAAAAACAAATGATCATATATTTTCTTTTTGTCTCACATATACCTTGTGATTTGCATAGATTATCATTTTAAGTCTCATAGTTGAAAAGAAATTGAACTTTACAATTTAAGTTTTATGCCTAAGGTTGTATTTAACACGTTGTGAAACCAAGACATTATTGTAATTCAATTATTATTATGCTCAATGTTCTGTCTTTTCCACTTTAGTACATTACCATATAGAACTTACAGAATGGGAATAAATGGAGCACTATGACTATATGTAATTTCATGATTCCATTTATTTAATAGAAGTAGATACTATTATGAAATTTTTAAAAAGCATTAAGGAAATATTTGATTAGAAAGTTCTAGGACTCACTTGGTTGAGGTCCCTAGTCAGTAAATTAATTTATCTCCTGGCTTTTTATCAATTGGTTACAACTGTTTTTATTTAGAGTAAAGAAGAGAATTATGATAATAGTGGTTAACATAAGATTAAAAAACCTCAGCAATTTAATACAAGTTCATTACATGGGGATACAGGATTAGTTGCAAGGATATTACAAATAAAGGGAGGTAAAGCCTTAGAGTAAAAGAACCTGGAAAGCACCTATATGCTTTCTCTATTTCTCAATAGTATTTCAGTCATTCACACAACAGTATTCACTCATATTTTATATTCATTCTTTACCATTACACTGAAACTATATTTTCAAAGAGCGTCAATAATTTCCAGATTGGCAAACCCACATTGTTTGTACAGAAAATAATACAATAATTAATAAATAATAATACAAAGCTAAACTGTGTTTCACGTACTCACTACTTTGTCTCACCCTCTATTTTCTCTTTTTGTTATATATTTACGCTTGAAAGTTTCAACTTTGTACATGGCTTTAAGTAGAAAATATAGACAATACTAAAATTTTTATTTCTAGCTAAAAATAAATACACCTGAGTAACACAGAGATGAGATATATGTTGCCTCCAAAATCCAAAGAGCCTCACTAGGCATGGTGCCTCATTTTAGGTTGTAGGAGTGCCCAGATACAATAAATAATCTTATCATCAATTTCTTGATAAGCCCTGTAGCAATGGACCCCTAGAAATTTCACTGAGCAAGAATGCCCCTAATTGTAAAATTTATTCCCCACCCTCTGACACACAAATGTATTACCAATAAATTGAGAGTGGTTGTTACATCTTAGTCATTAGGTTCAATCTGCATAAAGTCATCAATGTAATGGACCAGTGTGATATCTGTGGAAGGAAAAGGTGACCACAATTCCTATGAACTAAATAATGACATAGTCTCTGAGAGTTGAAATGCCCCTGGAGTAAAACAGTAAAGGCCTGTTATTGGCCTTGACAGCTGAAAGTAACTGCTTCTGATTGGCTTTATTCACATAAATGAAGAAAAAGGCATTTGCCAGATTAACACATTGTATGTGGGAAACGTATTTATACACTTTACATTGACTGGTTGTAGAGCGCGCGATAAAAACTACCCACAAACAATGTGTTAATAGCTTTATACCAGCTACCAGGAAAGGTATAAATTTGCTCAAGCAATGCAACCAAGCTAGTAGAGCAGCCACACTTAGAATAACCCTCCAGTTAAATTTACAATAAACTATTTTCATTCTCCAAGATGCATGTGTCTTCTTCACAAACCAAATAGGCAAGATAAATGAAGGTTGATGGTACTCACCACCCCTAACTTCCTCAAAGGATGAATAAACTCTAAATTCCCTCTAGGAATGCGGTGTTGCTTTTCATTTACTATTTCCTAGATACAGGCAGTTCATAGGGTTTGAGTGGAACCAAATGCGCGGCTCATTAAAAGGCAAGAAGTATGAGAGCGTTATGACAATGAACCTCATCCTGAGAACCAAGAAACCCGGGGTGGAGGTCTGTGCCATCATGGTAAAGCCCTTCCTTTCCCCTCAACCCAGCACTCACAGTCCTTCCCCATCCAAAGAGGTTCAGCCAGAATTATCTGCCCCTCAATGAAAGGAAGCTGTAGTGGGTCTGCTGTTTCCACCTGGATCCCCAAGACAGATCAGCAAAGTAGCTTGGACTTGGACTTTCCCACCACAGTAGCACTCACTGCACAGCTCAGGGAACCTAGGTGGGGATTCTGCCAGCTGCTGAGCATATTTTTTCCAATTGTGCATTCTAGATAAGGAAAGTAACAGGATGGGTTTGGAGGCCAACTGGACCCACTGTGAGAGTAGTCAGAGCTAAAACTCTATTGATCACCTGATCTGCATAAGCACCTGCTCTGACTGGGCAGCCACAGTGATATTTTGGGTCTCCTGGAATTCGTGTCAGTTCAGACCCAGGAGGCCTAATAGAATCAGCTAATGCCTCTGTTGCCACTGGCTCTTATGAATGGATAACTTCTCACTTTACCCAATGTTGTTTCCCTCACACTCAAATAAGTGATCCATTGTAATCAGCTATTTATTAATAAAAGGAAAGGTGCAAAGGGAAGGCCAGACATTATAAGCATGGACATTTGGACAGCTTAACCAGGAAGCTACAATTTCACACTCCACAGGGAACCACTGGCTCATTCCCTGCAAAACACTGGTGGAAAGGGTCCAACAAAGGGAAGATAGATGCATACACGGTGAGTTGTGGTGGTGAGGGAAGGTGCTTGTCAGTCAAGCCTGGGGAACCATGGATTGGCTAGAACAGGCAGAGCCATTACAAGCCAGTGAAAATTTTGGAATACATAATCCCCTAAACAAAGGAGTTCTCTCTCTTGACTCTCCTGTTGTGATTGGCTCTTGGCTCTTGGCTCTCTTGCATTCGCCCACATGGCCAATGGCCATGCTGACCTCGGTTGCAATGGACAGATGACCTGGAGCAGGAAACACTAACTAAGCTAGCCTGATGCCGGGCTGGAGTGTGCAGACATGGAATGGAAACTCTGGACACTGGTTCCGATTTTAGCTCTGCTAAAGCCCCAGTTAAGCTTCTTCTATGACTGGACTAAGGGACATGGGACATTGGAAACTCAGGAATGTAATTCTACAAAAATAAAAAGAACTCATTCTTCTGTGCAAGTCTTGGAAAATTCTTTCTCTTGAGATATAGCAAGAATTCCACTCCCAAAAAACAACAGATGGGGGTGAGGACCATAGAAACTATCCTTCCATCCAAACAACAACAAAAAAGGGGGACATAGATAGTTGGGCAGATACCTGCATCTTGTCTCAGTTTCTACTGTTGATAGACTAGGAAGGTTCCACACTTTCAGGGCTGGCCCAGGTTTATCTGCTTGTAAAAACTGTACTGGAGGTTGTAGAAGCAAGGGGGGCTCTGTTTAAAATAATAATTCACGACTTTTTTGAACAAATGCGCATCTTTTTTATATTAAAATTGCGAATGATAAATACAAAAGATGCATACAAAATATATATGCATACTTATGATTTACCCTGATAAAATTATTTAAGGTATTGCCACCAAAACAAACATTGTTCCTCGTTATGGAGCATGTGAATGGAGAGGACATGAAGATAATTTACAGGACAATTGCTGCCTTACCTAGAGTGAGGCCTGAGGCAAATTCTAGCAGCTGGTATTCACTGTGCTGACTGCCAGCAGAAGGGCTCTGTCCACAGGGACCTGAAGCCAGGGAATGTGCCCTGTCGTGAGGCAATGAATATACACAGACAGACTTTGGCCACAGCTATGAGTTGACCAGCCATAAGCTGAGCATGTGCTGTGGCAGCCCCTCTTATTCCACCCCAGAACTCTTCCTGGGGCCATACCTATGACTGCCCTGCAATAGGTGTGTGGAGCTTGGATGTGGCTCTATATAAGATGCCGACTGGGAACCTGCCTTTTATGGGAGAGGACCACTGGGAGCTTCTGCAGTGGACACTGTGCTAACAAGATGATATCTGATTTTTATATCTTCCAAATGAGATCAGCTATGAAAAATATTGATGGCTATTGACCCCCCAACAGCAGAGAAACTTTAAAAGAAATCATGAAGGACCCATGGATAAACATGGGTTTAGCCATATAGTGAACTGCTCTGTGACAACGTGGACCCCTCATGAAAAAGATCACGATGAACATGGGGTTTGAATGAAATTATACCAAGTTACTAAAAGGTAAAATTTATAACAATATTATGGGAGAGTACATGATCCTAAGTACCAAGAAACACAAGGTGGAGGTTTGTGCCATCATGGTAATGCTTCTCCCTTCCCCTCCACCCAGCAGCTATAGTCCTTCCCCAATTAGTGCACTGAAGCTAGAAGTCCCCGCCCCTCAAGAAAGGGTTGTTGTATTGAGTATTTTCTTCACACCTGGATCAGCAAGACAGATAAGCAAAGGAGTTTCCACTTGGACTTTCCCACCATAATAGCACTCACTGCGTAGATTACAGAACCTATGTGGGGATACATCCAACTGCCTAGTATATCTATTCAAATTGTGCTTCCCAGAAAAGAATTACAGGATGGGTTTGGAGACCCACTAAACCCATTGTGAAGGAGGTCTGAGCTAAAACTCTATTGATCATCTGACCTCCATTAGCCCCTACTCTCACTGCCTGGCCACAGTGACCTTTTGGGACTCCTGAAGTTAGTGTCAGTTCAGAGCCAGTAGTCCCCAAAAAGTCAGCTGAGGTCTCTGTTGCAACTGCCCCTTAAGAATGGATAGCTTCCCACTTTACCCAATGTTTCTTCCCTCACCCTAAAATAAGGACCTTGGAAACTACCACTCCCATCCAGACATAAATCAAAATGGGTGGTAGGTTTATGAGCAGTTACCTGCCTCTTTTCTCATTTGCTAGTCTCCATAGCATGGGGAAGGTTGGGCACTGCCAGGGAAGGCCCTGGTTCATCTGCCTGTCACAACAAGGCTAGAGGTTGGAGGAACAAAGTGAGTGCTTTGTCTCTCTTTATAAAACAATAATTCATTACCTTGTTAAACAAACATGCATCCTTTCCATTTTAAAATTGTGGCTGATACACACAGAAGATGCATACAAAGTATATAGGCATACCTATGAATTACCTTGATATTATAAAGTTATTCAAAGTGATCATCACCCAAGAAATAATGTTCCTCATTTTGGAGTATGTGAATGAAGGAGGCATACAGGTCATTTACAGGACAATTGCTGCCTTACCTAGAGTGAGGCCTGAGGCAAGTTCTAGCAGCTGGTATTCACTGTGCTGACTGTCAGCAGAAGGGCTCTGTCCACAGGGACCTGGAGCCAGGGAATGGATTCTGTCATAAGGCAATGAATATACACATGACAGACTTTGGTTTTAGTAATGAGTTTACCAGCCATAAGCTAAACATGTGCTGTGGCAGCCCCTCTTATTTCACCCCAGAACTCTTCCTGGGGCCAAAACTATGACTGCCCAGAAGTAGATGTGTGGAGCTTGGAAGTTGTACTCTAGAAGAGGATCACTGGGAACTTGTCTTTTATGGGAGAGGACCTCTGGGAGCTTCTGCAGTGGACACTGTGCTAACAAGATGATATCTGATTTTTATACCTTTCAAATGAGATTATCTGCTTTAAAATACTGATGACCATTGACCCCAACAGCAGAGAAACTTTAAAAGAAATCATGAGCGACTCATGGCTAAACATGGGCCAAGAGGAAGCCCTCAAGCCATATATAGTGAGCTACTCTGTGACAATATGGACTCCTGTATGACAGAGATTATGATGAACATGGGGTTTAAATGAAATCAGACTCTCAAATCACTAAAAGGCAAGTGTTATAACAAAATTATGGGCACATACATGATCCTAAGTACCAAGAAACACAAGGTGGAGGTTTGTGCCATCATGGTAATGCTTCTCCCTTCCCCTCCACCCAGCAGCTATAGTCCTTCCCCAATTAGTGCACTGAAGCTAGAGTTCCCTGCCCCTCAATAAAGGGTTGTTGTATTGAGTATTTTCTTCACACCTGGATCTGCAAGACAGATAAGCAAAGGAGTTTCCACTTGGACTTTCTCACCATAATAGCACTCACTGCGTAGATCACAGAACCTATGTGGGGATTTGTCCAACTGCCTAGTATATCTACTCAAAGATGATAATAACAGGATGGGTTTGAAGACCCACTGGACCCTGAGGGAGGTCTGAGCTAAAACTCTATTGATCATCTGACCTCCATTAGCCCCTATCCTTACTGCCTGGCCACAGTGACCTTTTGGGACTCCTGAAGTTAGTGTCAGTTCAGAGCCAGTAGTCCCCAAAAAGTCAGCTGAGGTCTCTGTTGCAACTGCCCCTTAAGAATGGATAGCTTCTCACTTTACCCAGTGACTCTCCCCTTGCCCACAAATAAGGAATTTGGAAATGATGGCTCCCATCCAGGCATTATTATTAAAATAATAATAATTCATATGTGCAGCCTTTCCATTTTTAAATTGTGGCTGATACACACAGAAGATGCATACAAAGTATATAGGCATACCTATGAATCACCCTGATAGTATAAAGTTATTTAAAGGGATTAGCACCCCAAAAGATATTGTTCCTCATTATGGAGCATGTGAATGGAGAGGACATGAAGATAATTTACAGGACAATTGCTGCCTTACCTAGAGTGAGGCCTGAGGCAAATTCCAGCAGCTGGTATTCACTGTGCTGACTGCCAGCAGAAGGGCTCTGTCCACAGGGACCTGAAGCCAGGGAATGTGCCCTGTCGTGAGGCAATGAATATACACATGACAGACTTTGGCCACAGCTATGAGTTGACCAGCCATAAGCTGAGCATGTGCTGTGGCAGCCCCTCTTATTCCACCCCAGAACTCTTCCTGGGGCCATACCTATGACTGCCCTGCAATAGGTGTGTGGAGCTTGGATGTGGCTCTATATAAGATGCTCCCTGGGAACCTGCCTTTTATGGGAGAGGACCACTGGGAGCTTCTGCAGTGGACACTGTGCTAACAAGATGATATCTGATTTTTATATCTTCCAAATGAGACCAGCTATTAAAAATATTGATGGCTATTGACCCCCCAAC